TCCACGCTTTTCAGCGTTTTTACCTTCCTCATCAACTCCTCGAAATTTCACTACCGAGAGAAACCCATAGTTATCATAAGCGGCATGTATAACGTATACAGTATTGCCTACTTTATACGTTTAATTGCGGGGCAGGAAGAGGTTTCCTGTTACGTGGACAGTCAGCACGAAGTGCCCATCTTGATCCAGGAAGGCCTGGATAACATCAATTGCACCATCATTTTTGTTTTCCTTTACTTCTTCAGCATGGCCAACGCAGTTTGGTGGGTTATTCTGGCCATTATGTGGTTTCTCTCAGTGGGTTTCAAGTGGACCAACGAAGCTATGCAACGAAGTTCTATTTACTTTCATACGTTAGGTTGGTCACTCCCCGCCGTGAAAACCATAGCTATACTAGTTTTGAGAGTGGTTGATGCCGACGAATTGACCGGAACTTGTTACGTAGGCAATCAGAGCACTCGAAATTTACTGGGCTTCGTCATCATCCCATCATTTGTTTACCTGATCATCGGTTCCATGTTCCTACTCGCTGGTCTTTATTATATATTAAAATCAAAACACTCGCCGGCCCTTCACACACACCACCGCAACAATTGTTGCAAAGTGGAAAAATTAGATATTGAAACAGTCAGAATTGGTCATTTTGCAGTACTTTATACTGTAGTGGCCTTGTGCATGCTGGCTGCAAACTTTTACGAATATTACTCCAGGGATATGTAGCTGGCAGCGGGTTCTAACAGCAGGCCAAATGTAAGTGTTTATGCTAGAGATCTTCATGTCGTTGGTGGTAGGCATAATTACAGGGTTATGGATATGGTCGAGTAAGAACCCATTGAACACATGGAAGCAGTTTTTTTTAACAGATTTAATAGAAAAGAAAGGCTGATGTCCATGTATATCCACGAAAGTAGCAACGAATCTACTGTTTAAAAAACTAGCTGAAAGAGTAAAAAGTGTAAACAGAACCTTTAACCAAATGTACCAATTTGTTTCTATTTTGTACACTTTCATTAAATAAACTTGAGCTATCTTGATTTGCTAATAAATTGTGTCGTAATACCGTGTTTCCCCGAAAATAAGACAGTGTCTTATATTAATTTTTGCTTTGAAAAATGCGCTAGGTCTCATTTTCAAGGAATGTCTTATTTTTCCAGGAAGAATTCACACTTATTACTGAACAAAAAAAATCCCAAGTCGAACTTAGACGAGAGTGACGTATATCCGGTGTGTCGAACTGTCGCCTTTTTATAGCATCAACATCGGACTCGATGACCAATTAATGCTTACGGAACCGTAGCACTATGCAAATGTCATGTGGCGTGATACCCGGCCGACCAATTAGCCATCACCAGCCGTAACGTTATGCAAATCTGTGATTCCCAAGCCATAGTCTTATGCAAATCATGCCGTGTGGCGTAATNTTAAGATGTAATGTTATTCTCCAGTGAAGCATGGTAAAACAAAGGAAACTAATGATCTGGGAATGGATTTTATAGATGTGAAGTGTGTACAACAGCCAAGTGGGTGGAACATTGTCGAATGCTTTTCTGCAGTCTATATTTGCCATGTGTATGTTTCTGTATTGTTTGTATGCTTGCCATAGAATGACTGAATCTGAGTAACTGTTTTTTACATCCCCTGTGATTTCTATGGCAACCTTTTTTGTTTTTCTGTAAGAATGTTCTTGTTTTTTTCAACATATTTGTATATTTTGTTTGCAATACAGATTATTATTATTTTCTTTTTCTTTTACTAGCATTAAATGAATGATTTAATTTTTATTATATATTATAGAATAAAATTTAATTTTACTAAAATATCATGTTTGGAAAATTGTATCTTTAAAAATAAAAATGCTTTTGATAACGATTCTTCTATTACTGATTTCTTTGATTCCAAGTTTTTCTTTTGGTTTACTGTAGATATTGATGGTCTTATTAATAAAACTCTTATAACAAGAACTTATACTGGAATGAATAATTTAAAATAAAAACTGCGAATTCCAGACAGGCAGTGAAACACCTTGAGAAGATAGAGATACACAAGGCTCACATAAATAAGGGATGCATTAATCATAGGGATGCAGAAGGGTTATCCTATGCCTGGAAATCCTTTTACAATAACACAGATTAACATCTTGTAGTCAACTTATATTCCTCCCCCCCTTCTTTTCTGGCGGCTTTATTATTTTTATGTTACTTGCAAGTTATTTATAGACTTTCAGACGACGCAAGTCCGATAAATTGCGCATGCGCACTTTGGTTTCTATTTAATTCGTATTTCATGCGTTCTTTTTTAGTGTTCTTTTTCAACTGAAGATGGCCGTTTAAAACGGTTGAAAACGTTTTTATTAAACATTTTTATTGCTGGATATTTGAAGGTTTATTTTTATTTTAAAACTCTTATTAAAAATTTTTTGTTCATATCAGAAAATTTATGAAGAAATAAAGTTGCTTGAATGTAAACTTGAGACATAGTAAAAAATGGGAAATTCCATCTTGTTAAATGCATAAGTTGAAAAATAGTAGTGACAAAATTTAGCATGTTTTGGTCTATGCTAACTATTGCAAGTTTATCAATGAAAATACCATATTTTAAAATAAAATACTGTATTCAATTTGACTAATGAAGACATTGGAAGGCGTTGGTTTAGTTTTGCGCCAAGACATTTCAGTAAAAGATTCAATTTGAAAAATGTTGGAGTTTTTGAAATTTGATGTAATAAAGAACTTAGTGAGGATTAACAGAATAGAAACAGATAGCGTGGTATTTCGTCTCCATTATATTTATACTGTGGTTATATTATTCCTTTTCTGCGCCATTCTATCAGCAACGCAATATGTCGGTGAACCCATGCTCTGCATGGAAAGAAAAAACATCGATAAACACGTGATGGATACTTACTGTTGGATTCGCGGCACATTTACAGTAAAAAAGCCAAATATGAGCGAAGAAGGAAGCATTTTTCCCGGAATCAATTCAAAATATGAAAACCAAGAGCATTACTATCAGCATACATATTATCAATGGATTTGCTTCTTCCTGTTCTTTCAGTCTGTCCTCTTCTACGTGCCAAGACTGATGTGGAAACACTGCGAAGGTGGCTTAATTCAAGCTTTGAGTCTGAAGAGTGACAACATTATGTACGAAGAAACTCAAAAGCGAGAAAATATTGTTGCCGTAGTTAAGTTCCTACACGAAAGTATGGGATGTCACGATTGTTACGCTCTTCGTTACTTTGCTTGTGAATTACTGTGTCTAATTAATGCCATTTCTCAAATGTATTTGGTTAATGTATTTTTAAATGGCGAATTCTTAAATTACGGAATAGAAGTAATTAAATATAACATGAACGATGATAATTCTGTAATAAATCCAATGCTAGAAACGTTTCCGAGAATGAGCAAATGTTTTTTTTATTATTATGGATCGTCCGGTAATATAATAAAAATTGATAATTTGTGTATGTTAACTTTAAATGTAATTAACGAAAAGATTTTTATATTTTTATGGTTCTGGTTTATCATTTTAATTTTATTGAGTGCCATATCTGTCATATACCGTATTATTTTAATAATAAGTGGAAAGATGAGATTGTATATCTTATCCATACGTTACAGGCTTGTACGGGAAACTTATTTGGAATTGTTAATTAAGCGATTGTCTGTAGGAGATTGGTTCATCGTATATATGCTTGGTAAGAATATTGACAGATTTATTTTAATCGAAATTCTATGCGAATTTTGGAAACGAGTTAATGGTATGGCAGAAAATGCCTGAATTTTAGCCTGTGTTGTTGTTATATGAATTACAAATTTAGTAATTCATTTTACTTTATTCATTATTATTAATAGTCTTTTTAAAGTAATTTTTAAAAAATGGCAATTTGTATTTTTTTAGTTTATATTATTAATCTTTATTATTAAAAATATGAAAAGTTTTTAACTTGTTTATAAATATTACTTTAAAATAATCTATATGTGAAGTTTGAGGCCTTATAATATACCATAATGAGTAAAATATGGCAATAAGGCTTAGTAATATGAGATTCTAATTGAGATGTTGGGAAAATGTTTCTCTTTTTTTAATAATTTTAACTGTTTCTACTGTAAGTTTGTCTTATTAAATCTATAATGTTTAACATGTTTAAAATATACATAACTGGCATCTTATTAAATTGTGTTGAAGTTTCAACACAATTTAAAAGTTCTTTTAAGTATATTTATTATTATTATTTAGCTGAAAGTAGTTTATTATTATTATTGAATGTTTAATATGAAGCATTTCAATTTCAAAAATTTTTATTAATTGTTTCTCTTTTATGTTTATCTCATAGTTTATTATAACATATGAACACCTTGATTAATTAAACCGATTTGTTTTCTACTTTACAGATATACTACATCTATATAATCTTGAGAAACAATAATAAACATGCATGAAAACAAGTGAAATCCAGTTATGACGTTGAATTTTGAATTATGAGCATATCAAATCAATGATTTTTGTTCGTTTCGAAGTCGCTTTGGCCAGATGACCGAGCTTATTGCTCGGCCTACCGCCCTGGTGGACGTGGGTTTGAACCAGGACGGGTCGATAAATCCCCGGGAATTTTTAGGGGCGGGTCCGTCCGGATATGTCGGGCCCCGCCACCGTTCGTTCCATTGTGGGCCTGGCCAAACCCAAAATGGGCTTGCTAAAAAAGAGGCTCTTTTAGTCCCAACGGGGCGAAAAGAGTTAGAAAAGAATTTGTAAGGTCTTTTTTATAAATGTATTCTATTTACAGTTAACCGCTAATCTCACCGGCATGGCTAAATTCGAAACTTTTGTTACTTCTATGAAATTTCATTCTTCTATAAAGCATTTAATCGTAACGATATAATACAATTAATATTTTATTTTTACAGAATGTTTTTATTTAGTACATAAATAATGATTTTATACAGGAGTAAAAATTTACTGTATTTAATTTTTGTTTTTTATTTTACAAGTTTCTCCACCAGAGTACCGATAGTCGAAGTTTCTAGCTCCGCATTTGGTTCGGTGTGTTTGGAGCAAGAACGGTGTGTTCGGTGCATGTTTATTTTTGTTACAAGAGCGCAGACTTTCGCTTCTATATCTGAATCGGTTTGCATCGGTCTTGATCAAAAGTAAAAAAAAAACGTAGAGAAGAGATCTTTCTGTAATGAAAAATATCTCGACGAGTTTCAACGAAAATTATAAAAATTCTGTAGGGTTTAAATTATTATCCCATATCAAATATCAGCACTTAGTTGCCGGCATTGGTGGGGGCTTAACGTCGACCTTAATACTACATCCTTTAGATCTCTTAAAGATAAGATTTGCAGGTAATTATTTTCATTTTTTTAAATCTAACGTTTACTGCATTTTGTTATAATGTTATCACTTGAAAAACATCGATTAGATATGGTACAGATTCAATAAAGCCTTTCGTTTTTTTAAATTTCTATAATTTGACTTGTTAAACAAAGTTTTGAAATAATTCTTAAGTCTTGATGTGATTTAAGTTTTATAGAAAATTTAAAATTTAATCTTTTTGGAAATAATTAAACTAGTAGTGTGGTTATGATAGTTTTTGGGTAAGACACGAATGCCGAATGAGGGATTTGCCACCCCAGAATTATAGATCTCCCCTGTACGAGCAAAAAAGTCAATGGAACCGTACCCGTAAGTGCGACCCTTTGTGAGATATTCGCCTCGAAAGGTTGGATTTTGCCATGAACTGGTATACCGTCTATTATCTGTGCTCTGTGTTGGTTGATGCAGAGCATGGATAATAGACAGTGTACTCGTCACGGTCAAATCCGACCTTCGGAGTCAGATGGTATACTAGTATATTNGCCCTCTAAACATTTATTCTGATCTGTCTAGATTCCCCATCCATGCTCACTGATTGGCATTAAACCTGTTTCAAGCATAAATCAAAATTAACTCAGATTATGAGAGAAGTCAACTTTAACATTAATCTGATGCTGGATTTGATTCCAACTGCTCTGTGTTGGTTGATGCAGAGCATGGATAATAGACAGTGTACTCGTCACGGTCAAATCCGACCTTCGGAGTCAGATGGTATACTAGTATATTGTATAGACGGTATATTTGATATATAGTTTTAGGGAAACACGAGCTCGTCTCCACATGGAGCATTGGGACGAGCCCGTGTTCCCCTAAAACTAATATTGAGTACTCCGTGAACGGTTGAGTGGGCTATTCGAAGCTGGCACAGTTGTATGGGTAAAATAGTTAAATGTGATGGTCTTAACAGAGCAATGCCTTCTCGATTGCATGTGACCTGGAAGTGGGCTATATCTTGTAAAGGGTCATATGTAGAGGTATGGTTCCTTTGACATTTTTGCTCCTGTGGGTATGGTCTATGGATCCGGTGAGGCCCGACTGTCTCGTTTGGAGGTGTAATTGTACTAGTTTTTGTGCCATCGGAAAGGATGTTTTGATGATCCTTTATCATAATTTCTATAATTTTTTTAATAATGCCAATAATAAAAATTAAATAATTATGCAGATTTCAGAGAAAATATTCTGTAGTTTTTAATTTCTTTATTCAAATAAATTGTAAGGTCTGCAGTTTGGTTCTTATGAAAATTTGGTTGGCCTATGCAAACTTTGGCAGTTAGTTATAGCACCCATTGTTTGAAGATGAGTATTATATGAGTCTTGATGGAGTGTGAAAATATCCACACAAGTCTGTAAATACAGTGGAACCTCGGTATACGACCTTAATTCGTTCCTGGTGTTTGGACTTATACCGAATAGGACGTATACCAAACCAACCTTTCCCATAAGAAGTAATGTAAAAATGATTAATCCGTTCTCATGTAAAAAAAAAAATGGCTGGCTTTAAACATCTCACTTTCCTGGCTAGTTCCTGCTTGATTTTTCATGAGATCAGCATATATCTTTTAAGCTTACTCGCAAATAATTGCTTCTGATACACTGTCGCCAGCACACTGTTTTTCAGTTATCCAAAGCAAAAGCAATTTCTCGTCCTGATCTAATGCCTTCAATCTCTGTTTAGAAATTGATTAAATCCCTTTCGCAACATTAGCAGATTTAATAATGTCTTTATTTTTCATGATTGTCGATATCAATTTCTAAACAGAGATGTTCAATCTCTGTTTAGAAATTGATTAAATCCCTTTCGCAACATTAGCAGATTTAATAATGTCTTTATTTTTCATGATTGTCGATATCGTCGTTCTCGGAATACGGTATGCACCAGTTAAATCTCAAACACACATGCCACCTTCACATTTCTCAACAATCTCTTTTTTCAGTTCCATTGTGATTTTAGTCATTTTTTTATTTTTCTGTTGCTTTTTTGCAATTTATGATTAATAAAAATAATAACATTTTACTTACAAATTAAAATAAAAAGAAATTTAACAAAGTCATAAACTGTGGCACCGCGAACGTCTAGTCTGGTCTAATACACCGATAGTACTACTTGTTTGTAGATGGCACATATAATTGAATTAAGTTGTATACCGAACAAAATTTGTTTCGTCCAAACAGGACGTATTCCGAATTGGACATATTCTAAAGCAGACATATACCGAGGTACCACTGTATATTTATTTATTATAGTTAGGAAATACATTATTTTCCTGATCATATATGAGAGAGTACAAAATATCTGGACAACAATGTGTAAGGTTTACTGTAACATTAAGTAGCCAGTCAATAGTGGAGTGTACAAAACTGAAGAGAGAGCTTTTCAGTTTTGTACACTCCAGTATGAGCTATCAATGAGAGATTTATGTGGACTGCTTGAACACCAAATATGGACAACATCAGTATGAAAACTGTTTGTTAACCAATAGCTTACAAGTCTCCTGTTATTGTAGGATGCTAATGGAGAGTCTGATTTTAATTGTGAACATTTCTGGAAGCCAAATCCAAGGTGATTCTTGGACCTGGGGCTGTCCTTTTCCTTTCATTTTGTAGGGGATATCTAAAAGTTTGATCAGATACAATCAATGTGTTACAGACAACTTGAAGATAAGCACAGTAGAGGCTGGTTGGAAATTCTTGCCAGAGAGATGAAATGTTACAGGCAAATTTTCAAATGGGATCTTGTAGGACGTAGTAGATTTCAACGAGAGTGGATTCTGTAAGCACATGTTATGCAGAGAACTTTGTCTTTTATTTAGAAAGTGAAAAATTGATCTTTGGGAAGGATCATGTCAAAGAACTTTCAGTAGAAAAGCTTTCTCATGTCCTTGAAACATTGGCTTTTATTAACTTGGCCCTCTAAACATTTATTCTGATCTGTCTAGATTCCCCATCCATGCTCACTGATTGGCATTAAATCTGTTTTAAGCATAAATCAAAATTAACTCAGATTATGAGAGAAGTCAACTTTAACATTAATCTGATGCTGGATTTGATTCCAACTGGAGATGGTCAGTCTTAGGACTTGCGTTATTATTACTCATACATTCACTGTATTTATTTTATCTGTATTTAATTCTTTTTTTCTATAATAAAAAGTTTTAATACATTTAATGAGGGGTTTGGACATTGTCTGGAGCTTCACAAATAGCTGGTCTAAAGGTGAATTATCTAAGTCTTTCTATTTAGTGTCAAAGTGATGATTAGGTAGAAGGCAGGAGGCAACTAAGAATCTAATTCAATGACTAATTGATGGTAGGTCAAAGTTCCCCCATATCTTGAATCCACATTGTTCTTGATCCTTGTTCATTTGCACTGTTGAACTGTCTTTCTCTTCTTTCATGAAGAACTCTTATCCACGATCATATCCTGGAATATCCCAAATTCGATGAGAGTTCTCCATTAGCAATTTAGTTCTTAATGCTTACTAAAGCTTTGTTCATTCATTGTTTGCTTATGGTAAGTTACTTCAGTAACTTACCATAAGCAAACAATGAATTTAGTAGAGTAGTTGAGTAGTTTAATGAAATGATTTAGTTTAGTAAATTCATTTAATTATATTTCCTGGTCGAGTAAGCAGCTTCTTCCACTGTCACTAACCAACTAAGTAAATCCAAAAAGGATTGTTTTAAGTTGAGTTAATATCATTACTTCAACATTTCCTGTAGCATTAGTCAGTCAGTATTAGACCCAGAAGTACCTAAAGAGGGCTAACTCAAAAATTTAAAATATTCAAATATTTAATAAGTAACATTTTATTAACCAATGCACAACAGTTGTATTACAGACAGTCTGATAAACCATATTTGCCTTCATAAATGTTTTTAAAAACAATGTTTTGAAGTTTGAACAAATAAATTAAAAAAAAATTTTTTGTCAGTGGGGAGGACTTCAGCTAGGGTGACCATCTGTCATCCCCATTTTTGATCCTCTGTCCCTGGAATGGAGTCTTGTCCCTGTTTTTCATTTCCTTGTTGTTACTGTAATATTGTCGCTGCCACAGTTTTCCACCAGATGTGTCCAATGTCTTTGGCACTTCCAGGTAATTTTTTTAATGAAGTAACCAATTTTTTGAGGAAATGCCAGAAAGGAACCAAGTTTTAAAACTAGAATGAGCAATTATTTATTGTAACATTGTCACAATGCCAGGCTTCAAGTTTTTGTCAGTGTTCTCAATTTTTTTAGTAGTGTTTTGCCCCTGTACATCATACTTTTCCTGTTAACAATAGAGTCATGCTGAATTTTTCCCTGAAAAGAATTAAAATAACATGACTTGTCCAAAGTAGACGTTCATGTATGGTTAATCGGGGCCTCCTGCCCCTAAGCTTTCCGTATCTGGTCTTGACTTTCATCTATCTAGCTCCATTTTCAAGATTAAGGAAGGGCAGAGGTGGATGACAGTGGGAATTTATAGGTTTAATAATTTTTTCAAATTGCAGCCCAACAAAAAATATAGCTATAAACCTTATTAATTAAAGGAGAGCTATTTGATGAAGCTAATGTCTGTCCATCTAGAAGCTTGTTGCATGCTCAGCTGAACTACTTTGAACACTTTTTACGCACTAAACTGTTTAGTAGTAAGTAGCTACTAACCATTTGACTAAATTACTGGACATGTCTGAACAAGCCTTAGGCCCCTTTGTGGTTAAAGGCTGAGTGGCCAAGCGATTCTGTTTCCTGAACACCGGGAGTTCAGTTATGGGTTTGCACCTCGCCAGGACAGGCTGGCCATGTGGAGTTTTATGGGTTTTCTCCGTGTATGTAATGCCTGAATAGGAGTCAGGGAGGTCTTTTTAACTTTAAAAATACCTCCCAGAAGGCATTCCCTCGGCAGATCACCCAAGTGTTGCATTGCCGTAGCTAGACTGAACAAGCCTTAACAGTAGGTCTAGATCATCTATGACTCATCAAAATGTTTACAAGTTATCTGATACAGAAGTATTGTTCATTTTTGTGATGAATGTTTATGGTAGAGTTCCTTTTAGAGTTTTGGTTTGATTAATAAAATAAGTTTTATTAATCAAACCAAAACTCTAAAAGTTTTGAAAATTGGGTATCCAAAATATTTGTCTGTTACACAATTTATTTTTTTCACAATTTTCAAAGAAATGAAGATAGTTTTTCATAGTTTTTGCACAATATTCCAAAATAATTTATATTTATATACATCCATAAGTCCACAACATTTAGCTTGCGTCACAGGATTTAATCTTTATAGGGTGTTTATTTTTCCCCTGATGTCTTTGATATTTTCTTTTACTTATTTTTCAAGACTAATTATTTTATTACATTGTGGGGAGTTTCTATTCTTATATATTTGGCATTCTGTAAATAAATTTTATTACATTTTTGTTGTTGACATTAAATTTTCAGCTATGAATTAGTCCTTTTGTTCAATATTTATATTTTTACTTTCCTGGCTGTTATAACAGAGGGAAAGTATGGCAATTTGGCAAAAAATGACCCCCAGATTTTTACATTTTTGGACTTCCTTGAAGCATCAGAAATGCAAAAAATTCTGGGGTAATTTCTATATGTATGGATGTTAATGTATGTGGGGGGCATGATTTTGTTCACCCTATTTGAAGCTTAACTCCTGTGCTTTTGTTGAAAATTTCTGAAATTTTGTAGGAGAGGTTTGTTCATTAGGGAGATTGATGCTATTAAATTTTGGTGGTTGAAGATTGATGGGGGAGATGAATAGTTAGTTTGACAATAGTTTTCATGTTGGCTAGATGACAAAAATGGTCAGCTATTGGAGAATTGCCTGAATAATGATAAATATAGAAAAAACTTTTCATAGAGCTTTGAAAATATTGAATTTGAACAAATGAGAACTGTATTTGGTAGTTTCTGCAATACAAATTTAAAACATTGATTATGTTTGTCTTTCTGTAAAACTTTTATCATATCACTTTTGATGATAACATATGATATAAATTTAAGATCACAAAAAAAAATGTTTATAATAAATGTTATCTATCAGATTATTTTAATGATGATTTTATAATAAATTTTGCAAGTGTATTATAGAAAATAATAAATTGATGAAATTATATTGAAACTAGTTTTTAATTTTTTTTTCTTTTATTTTCTTTTTAGTAAATGATGGATTAAAAAACAGACCCAAATATCATAATCTTAGAAATGCTGTTAGTCAGATAGTGAGAGAAGAAGGTGTAAAAGGATTGTATCGAGGAGTTGTACCCAATTGTTGGGGTGCTGGAACAGCATGGGGCTTTTACTTTTTGTTGTAAGAACTTTTAATTCATATATGTTAATAGCTTAAAGTCTAGATTTGTCTGGATAGAAAGGATTGTAAATTTATTGTAGAATATTTAATTATTTATTAAAGTGAATGAATAGAAAATTAACCAAACTATATAAATACAAAGTTTATAACAAACTTAAAGGTTGTTATAAACTAAAAATGTTTGTTAAACTGAAAGGTTGCTGTGATGAAAAATGTGTATAAATTTATCGAGCAGTTAAATGGCTAAATGTTAAGTTCGTGGATGAAACAAAGACAATATATATGTTACTTATTTCATGTGAATAAAGTTGTTTAGTTCTAAAGTTGTCGATTTAAATCCCACCTCTGAATCCTTTTCTTCCTATGCTTTGGTTTCTTCCACTGGAGAGGAATGGTGAGTCCAGCAATGTTTTCCTCTTCTGGATGTCCAACAATCTTACTTTCATACCGTAAGTGAAGAATAAGGTAAATAACAAAAGTAAAAGTGACATAAATGGCTGTCCTCATACCTGTGTCTATGACAACTTGTGATTCTTATTGAGATTAGTATACTTGCAACTCATTAATTATTTGCAGTCTTGTTTCTATACTTTGGGTACTTTATTTACTAGTTGAAAGATAATAGTGACAAAGTGGAAAAGAAGTTATAACAAAATTGCTACAGTGAAGTAAAAGTTGCAGGAATTCTATTAATGCGGGACCAACAAAAAAAAGAACATAAACCGAAAGTGTTCTAGAAATATGTTCATACATTGAAAAACTTTTGTCATGGATGTCTGTGGAGGTTGGTTGGAAAACTAAAAGTTTGTTATTCTGAAAAGTATGAAATTTGTGACATTAGAATAACTTTCTTATTTTAACATTTTTCCAGATACAGTGGATTATCCAGAGTTATTGATTTTAAATTTGATGAGACTTATATGCTATAACAGTCATTTGTCAACATCAATTTATATAATGCAGTATACTATATATATTGACCAAACATTTAAATTGATCACATAATAACAAAGTGTTAATCGATATAAAATTCACCAACCTTATTTAGATCTTGTACATAAATAAAAAAAAAAACCATTACTAATGTTTTCGGTCTGTACCTAAGACCTACTTCAGGTAGATTTTTTCAAAATCGAATCTATTTGAAATAGAGCACCAGTACCAGAAAATCTATCTGAAGAATGTCTTTGGTGTAGACCGAAAACATTAGTAACAGTTTTCTCACATGCAAGGCCTACAAAAGGTTGGTGAACTTTATATTGACTAAAGCAATTTAGAGAACATATTGTAAGCAATTTTAATTAGTCTTTGTTAATTTTAGTTCAGACATTTAATGAAATTAATTAACATATGCAGGTACCAAAGTGGGAATTGATCCTTATGGCAAAAAAATATTTGTTAAAAAAATGGAACTATTATAAAGATTGTTTAATATTGAACAATGTAACAATGTGTTTCACTTGTACACAAGAAACCAAAATGTTCTTTAGATTGATAATATGAGTTGATAATTACAAAAGATCCTTTTTTTTTTCTTATGCACACCAAAAAAATATGAATAAATATGGAAAATTGTCTTCAGCAATACTAAAAAATATTGAGTTTGTTGGAATTATAAAGACATCTACATTTTTATAATTAGTTGCATGTCTGTCTCTACAATTTTATAATTGGTTTATATGTTCATCTACTTCAAAATATTTTAAAAATAAATTTCTGAAGTACTTTTTCAGATCTCTTTTCTTATCAGATACAAATTTACATTGAAATCATTAAAAATAATAGAATTAACTTCAATGCATAAATAAAATAGTTTAATTTATTACAGATGAATCTTTATCATTTTAAATGAAAGTGGGATTTAAGAAAAATAATTAATTTGTTTGATATTAAATTAACATTGAGTTAAAGTACACATTGTATTATTTAGATATTCTGTATGTATTTGTTTCTAAAATTCATATTTGTTAAATTTATATATATTTTTTAGATGATGTTAACTTGTTCTTCAAACTACATTAAATATAGAGTTTTGTATGATTTTCACTTTTAAATTAGAATTTTTTACATTTTTTAGTTATAATGCAATTAAAGCATGGATGTTAGAAGGAAATGTGAATAAACAGTTAGGTGCAGGAAGGCATATGCTAGCAGCTGCAGAAGCAGGTTTGTATTAAATATATCTTTAACACATTATTTCTGGCTCTTAAAATTATTGAATATAATTATTTACAATTTATCATTTTGCAAAGTGAAATTATTAATTACTGTGTCAGAATGAATTGACCAAACTTACCTTTTTCCTTAAGGTAAATTTAGTCAATTTATTCTGACACAGTAATTTTCTCTTTAAAAACATAATATTGGACATTTAGTAAACTCTGATTTAATGTAAGTTTAATCACTGTCAATTTGTTATGACAGTGATTAACTAATCCATCTTCAAAATGATCAATCATGAATGAGAAAGTTATATTTAATAAATGGTAATTTAATTTATTGGAAATAAATTCTTTAATTTCCAATAAATATTTTCTATTTGCAAATATTTATTAATGAAAATATAGTTCACTTCATGCCAGCATTTAGAAATTAAATATAGGACACTTCCATGTTACGGTGTTATTGACAGCGATTTATATTTATTAAATAGTATTTTACTATTATAAAATATTCTTTGTAATTAACAATTGTAAAAACAATTATAAATAAAACAAGTTAGGCTAACCTGTGTAAAATAATTGAACAAAAGAAAGTCACTTAAATAATAATTTTCATAAATTCTAAAATAAGGTACAGTACAATTAAATACAAAAGATATAAAATACTAAAGTTGATTGACTAACATACTTGGCTAGAATATTCCTGAACAAAATTGATCAGGAATGTTTTATATCAGTTTTATAGTAATCTTTTATTTAACACTTATTACAATTAGTTAATATAAACTTACAATAGACTAATTATAAAAATTTTTATTTGTGATAATCATTTGGTTTTAGAGATTGTTGAGATGTTTGCCACTAGTACAGTATTCTGCTTTTCTTTTCTGTCCTGTACTTTAGTTTTCCATCATCTATTTTCAGTTTTTCCAAATTTTATATAACAGTCTATCCATCTTTTTGGTGGTCTTCTCCACAGTCTAATATCTCCCTTGTCCCCCACTCCACACATTCCATAGTAAGTTCCTTGTGTTCATTCTCACATGCCCATATCACTTTAGTCTCTTAACCTTAACAATACTTCTTATGAACTGTTGATTTGATATATTTCTTAATTCATAATTGTCTTTGTCTCCATTTGTCATTTTCTGTATCAAACACTGGGCCAAAAGTTTTCAATAGTACACTGTTTCAAGAATTCTTTATTAGTTGATTTACAAATTATAAAATTATATTAGAAATTTGTTAATGTGGAATGTAATTCTAGTATGTATGTTTATGTAGGGAAATTATCAACTAAGAATAGAAACTGTTGAGATTTATAACTATTTTTTCTATCATAATTTTAGAATTACAGTAAGACCCTGCTTAATGCAGGGGATGCGTTCCTAGTCGACAAAGTGCTAAACAAAACAGCGTTAAACGAGGTCATTTTAACATAAAATTAAAGTAAAATTTTTTTATTTTCAGTTGTGTGTTCCCCTATCCCCATTTATTCTAAGTTATTTTTATATTAATTTGTATAATAATATATGTTAAATAACACACAAACATATGCACACAGAAATGTATAATAATATATTAATTAATTAGTTTGTTTTTTCCTGACTTTTCTGAAAGTCTTGTTTTTTTGCACTAAAGTCATGAAGTTTCATTTGTCACTTTTTTCTTTCCTTAAGCAAATGTTGGTAGCAGAAGATTGCGTCCAAAATGCCTCATTTTGCTTTTGCACTCTTTTCAAAATCTGGATTATTCACTACAATTTGATCAACGATTTCGGTTATCATTACCAAACTTTTACTAAGGAAATCTGTAGAGAAATTTTTTGGGTTCTTTGTTTTCAGAATCACTATTTTCCAGTTCTACATGGATTCCTTGTTCTTCCAGTTCTTGAAGGTTGTTGTTGATAAGACTCTCACCAAAAACCTGCGGTAACTCCTCAATATCCTGTTTTTTTACATCTCTTAGTCCTGCTGTATCAATTAAGTTGAGTTTGATCAATCTAACGACACAGCGATAGGCTCTTGTCATTGAGAATTCTTGGATACCTTCAGCCATAACTTCTTCCACACTTTCTCCATGCATTTATCAGTTAATTCTTGCCAAGCAAAGCCAATATTGCCTATGGCATCCATGATGTTATAATTTTTCAAAATTGCACTAAACAAACATACGTTTAAAGAAAGTACACCTTTTTCTGATTGGTTCGTGTTTGTCAATAATCATATTATGTATGAATCAATAAAATGCCACGATAATTTAAATCAGCGTAAATTTTGAACTTTTTTTAGGCTTCAAGCAGACAGCGTTATATCGAATAAGCATTAAGTGAGGCGGTGTTAAACAGGGTCTTACTGTATTAATAAAAAAGTTTGTTTTTAAAATGGAAAATTATATCAATGATTACTGTAATGTTTATCAATTTAATGATTTTGATACATTATGCACATCTTCCAGTTGTTACCAGTAAAAGTTGTTGTATAGTTTTTAAATGTAATATTATAGTTTAGTGATGCCCAAAATATGGTCCATGAATACATTTGTCACACAGCCATTAAGAGTTTGTATGGATTCAAAAGTGAAGCAAGCCCTATACGAGCTCTCCCTTAGTTTCTTATTTTTTTGAACAGATGAAAAACATAGAATATTTCTTTAATAAAATCAGTCTTAAAGATTTTATTTTCTGTTAGAAAAAGTAATGTTAATTTTGTAAGGATAGGAATTACTATGGGCTCCTAGTTTTCTCCAGGTCTACCCCTCTTGACAGTCCTGTTGACATATTACTTACAAATGATAGAAATAGGACTACTTTTGATATAGAATATACAAAATATTTGTGGCCCTCCTACTTATGACTTATATTCAACTTGCTCACCAATTGAAAAGTTTGGGCACCACTATTATAGTTGTATAAGTGTCTCATATTAGTAAAATCTTAAATTTATTAATAATAATTTATTCATTATTCATAATAATAGTGTTAGATGCAGGGCCGGATTAACCCACTTTGGGGTCCTAGGCATTTTCTTTTTACCAGGCCCCCTCCCAGCTCTTTCAATTAATAAATCGTGTTAATATTATTTCTATTAAATCGCATATGGACACTGCATCTGCTTAATAAAAAATAAAGCAAAATTATTTAACAATATTTCACGGGATGTTAAGAATACGTATAGTTAATAATATTCTTATCACTATAAAAAAAAAATTCTAAGTTATTGGGAATTTTACTTTCAATAAGAAGAAACATAAGAACACATTTTCTTTAGATTTTAGAATTTACAATAACCATATAAAAAGCAATATATTTTTGTTTATTTGTTTATTATATACAGTTGTCCAACAGAAAAGTAAACTATCTTATTTACAAATCTTTTAAAAATAGACAGTTTGACCGGACCCTGCTGAAAACCGGGCCCTAGACATTTGTCTCATTTGTTCTATGCGGTGATCCAGCCCTGGTTAGATGAGCATAATTAGTACAAGTAATGAATGTGATAGAAATAAAAATTTTAATCATTAGGACTAACTTGCATTTGGGATATGGAAAATATCTATTCTAAAATCATATTTAATTCTAACAGGTGTACTTACTTTATTTATTACTAACCCTATTTGGGTTGTAAAAACAAGACTATGTCTGCAATATGCTGAATGCAATACAGCCCTTCCTACTACAAAAGTATATAAAGGTACATTGGATGCTCTTATTAAAGTGTATAAATATGAAGGTATTTCTGGATTATATAAGGTAAGAGAAGAAATTTTATTTAATGTACATAGATACTTTCTTTATTTTCTTACCCTTTTTATTTTAGTATACAGTGAACTCCTGTACAATGTGAGATACATTCTGCACTATAGGAAATGTGTTATACAAAGCTCATGTTATATATGAACTGTGAATGTGGCTTAATGGAGAAATAGCCAGAGAGTTAGAAATGTTTTATGAATATTGATAGATCTAAATGACACATTGTACAGGGATCCACTGTGCACATCTTTATGTATAATATTCGTTATTCTAAAGGAAAATATGCTTTGCTCAAATTTGTGTTAATCTTCTGATATAAATCCTTGCATAAATCAATTTTTATTGTTTTTCTACTATTACATTAGTCTAATATAAGTAAATGTATTTCTTTTTGTTTATAATTTTCATTAATTAGAATATAATTCTGTTTTAATGCTATGTTATGAACTGTTTGTAAAATCAAAATTGGTTTATACTAGATGATCATATATGTATATTATTCATTTTGGATAATTTCTGTATTCCTGATAATAGTAATGAGTTATATCAATTTACAGCCAAAAATGATTATCTTTGAATATATTATTGAAACTGTATGAGTATGACAATGCTATTTGACAAAAATTAATAATTTATTTTAAAACTACAAATTGAATAAAAAAAAAGGCAGTGTTATAATTCACATGAGTTATCTATCAATAATTTTATAATATATATTGCTAGATGATTTGGCATATATTTATTCAGTTCATAGTTTTAAAGTAAATTAATAATTTTATTACAAAATTTGATATAATTATGAGGAAGATAATTATTACACAAAAATGATGATGATAATAGTAATGGAAGTATATTTTATGAATGAAATTTGTTATTTCTTTTTTCAAATCTTTTGTACATATGCATATTTGTTGAAATAACTTAATAATAATAAAAGTTTATTCTACCTGAAGTTGTAAGTAGTTTTATCTCTAAGATGATTCTGTTAATACTCCTTTATTTTTACTTTTAACCATCTATGAGTCATAGAATTTGAAATGATTCTAATTCTTGTATAAAGTAGAATTTATAAATGCCAAATTGCAGCTATAACCAGTCAGTCAAAGCAGTTAAGGTGTTACCCACCACTCTGGTAGATCCAAGATTTAATAATAATTTATTTTTAAAAGTTACCTTTTAATATAGTCTGATAAATAATCCAGCAATTAGGCTATTGTTTGTTCAAGATAATAAACCAGATTATAGCTTAATTTGCCTGATTATTTTTATCCATGCTGTACTTTTGGCATATTATAAAAATATAGTAATTTTTTGCTTAATTTATAAAAAAGTAATTTGAATTATTGAGGAATATGATTTTGTTCTTATTTGGGAATGACAAAATAAAATGATGTATAAGACCCCATGGTTTTGCTTTACTTCAGGATTTAACCAACTGCATAATCCAGGAATTGTAAATAAGCCAAAATATTCCTCAAATATCAATATATTAAATTTAAACTTAATGTCTGAGCAGTAAAGGCAACAGCCTGCTACTATAAGGGATCCTGGATCAAATCCAAGCAGGGGAACCACAGGAATTTTTTATGGGTGATACATAGACTTTGTCCCTCATCATCCAGCTGGCCCAGTTGTGGACTGGTTGAATTCATAGTGGGAATAATTAAACAGCCTTTTAATATTATAGGGAGGAAAGAATGAAAATAAATAAATTTTTATTAATTACTTGTCTATATCTGGAAAAACAAGAGCTTTTTAAAAATAAAAAAATTTCTACAGTATAGCAAATTCATTCATAAAGCTAACTTCTTGTGACCAGCAATGAAATCTGACACTATACTTTCAGTGTGATTTGCAAAATTTGTTCAATTGTATTTTTGCTTAATTTTTATAAATTTCCTATTTGGATTCTTTATATGAGCTGCACTGTGACATCTGAAAACCAAACATTGCTTTAAGTACTATAAAGTTAATTTTAGAATAGTTTTAATTGATTTAAGAGACCAAATATTCTTCTGACACTGTTTGGAATGCTTTAAATATATTTGTATGCATAGGGTTTTCTGCCAGGAATGTTTGGTGTTTCTCATGGTGCATTACAGTTTATGGCATATGAAGAGATGAAGAAATTTTATGCTAATTATTATAATTTGCCACCAGATGCAAAATTGGTAAGTTTAAAGTCTATAATTTTTTAAAATTTAAACATGACACAGAAAATTTTTGATATATAATAAATAATAAGAGTAATAAATGAATATACAGGGTGACCATAATTAAAGTTTTCCTATTCAGAGCACTCTGTAGCTGTAACCAAAAACAGATTGACACAAAAGTTTGTATACATGTTAGGCTTAAAGACCGAAATCGCTCATTGAGTGAAGAAAATGATCACAAAGCGAAATTTGCATCATGGCATTTGTAAAAAATGGTCACATGCATTGTGGCTAATTCAAAACTACCACAAAGCGAAATTCATGTCATGTCTTTCATGATATTTGACCACTATGCATTGTGGTTAGGTTAGGTTACTTGGTTACTTTTCAAACGTCTAATCATTTGTGAAAATCTGTTGCGGTGCTCAATATGTCAATGTTTTCTAACCACTAATTTACTAAAAATAATTATTTTGTCAGGAACTTTTATTAATAAATCAGTCTTTTTTTATGTGAATCAAGAATGTTTCAGAGTTATTTATTTTTACAAGAACTATTACCATGACATTTCAAGTTGCATTTTATGTTCTTTGAGCAGCATTTGCATTTTTTATCAATACAATATCTTTTACAGTGACACATTACAAACCCTTGCTTACTTCCAGATGTTAATGTGGATGCTGAGCGAAGTGTTAATGAAGTTTAGGGTACGTCCTGAATGTTAATAAAGTTATTCTCAGAAATTGTAAATTCAGTACGAGCATAAAGTCGATCAAGAAGACCTTCCTTGTTTTCTAACTGATAGAGACCTGATGGATTAATGCTCATGTTAGGCTCAAAGATTTTGTTAGGCTTTATCAGAGGTATTATATGGAGAACGCCAATGACTCAATGGCATGAAGGTTCAGAAAAGTGAAATCCCACTCGGGTGTAATATACAGTAATACCTCGGTTTTCTTCGGCTTTGGATTTTGCCAATTGTTTCTGAATGGATTATCGACGAAAACCGAAGTATCACTGTACAGTGTACACCCATGTACCTAGCATCAATCTGCATTATTTCTTTAGCTTCTGTTGTCCTATCCTAAAACCCTCCAGTTATAGGAAAAACAGAATGGTTTTAGGCTAAAACTTTTTCCAGTGAAACTTGTGATGCGATGAGTAATAGCATCAGAACACAGGATAGTTTTACCCTAGATTTACCCTAAATATAAGACTATCCGAAACATTACTCTGAGAGTTTAAATTACTCTAGAAAAGGGTAATTATCCTAGAAACGGCAGCACTAGTCAAGAATGAACACAGTACAAACTCCATGAGTGTTTGCAATGCACCTGTTGAGAAGTTACAACTTATCCTTCTTATCGTGGTTGCCTCAGTTAACATTCAGAACATTTTATGGCTTTTCTTAATCACCACACATAATACGTAGTGGTCAAATGTGGGGGCCGAGGGGGGGAAATATTTAAAAAAACTTTCGACGAACGATAATATGTGATATATATCGTCATCGTCTCCCTTGCCGTTTGGATTGCCGAGCGGTAACAATCAACGACATGTGGAAGCAGTTGAGTCAGAGATAGATGCTTCGTTTACAAACAACACAACCGTTTATTAAACACGAAAGAAGCTTACAAGATTACTGCGATCTTGGAAGTTCTACTTCGGCTGCGGCCTCTGGGTCTTCCTCTCCCGTGGTTCCACGATAGTCCCATTTTGAAGGAGTGTCCCTTGTTCGAGAATGAACAATTCCATCACGTCTCGACGACTCCGGGACGATGCGGTCGACTTCCGTTGATGGAAAGATGTCGATCCGAGGTCGGGAGATGGAGACGAAGATGGGTGCGAGACACACACACAACAACAGATCCGTCACTTGGAACTTTCGGGAGAAGAAGCCGTCGCGTCCTCGAATTTCCGGGGTTTTATCTGTTTTCTCTCAGATTCCCCTTTCCGATTGGTCTCCCGTCGTCACCTGATGACAATTCGAAACCTTTCGGGGGCGCGGGAGAGGTCAAAATCGAAGTTTAATTCGATCTCCAACCGGAAATGGTCGACGGACTTACATTCTTCCATTGTTTTAAAGTTAGCGTCGCGTTTTCATATCATAAAAATCTATTTCTAACTACTATATTTTTTCTCTTTAAAACAATTATTTTAACGCGAATTTTAGTGAGGGTTCGGGCCTGTCCAGAGCCTCACACAAATATCATGAAAGCCATGATACAAATTTTGCTTTGTGGTCATTTTGAATTAGCTACAATGCATTGAGTGAAAAAAGATTACCACAATGAGCGATTTTGTTCTTTGAGCCTAACATACAGACTGTATAAACATATACAATATACAGACAAAGGATATACAGACAAACAATATACAGACAAAAGCTGTGGAAAAGAATTTTGCAGAAAAAAATTTAGTTCATAAACTTCCACTATGGAGCACTTTACAGGAAAAAAAGCAAAACAAAACAACAAAAAATGCATTTATTTGTTCTGCAATGACATGTCTTCTGCAGAGACTGTTTACTGATGTAAGGATTGTTGCTCAATGTGTACCCTGTTATTCAGATGTAAAATTTGAAGAACAAATCATGATATTTGATTTGTTTAATCATTAACAAACTATAGAAATAATTATCATAAAAAATTTAATGTTGCTAATTAAAATATTAAGCCTTCTATTTCTGGCTCGCTCTTAAAGATTAAAAATTTTAATAAAAGAATCACCTCAGTTTACAGATTACAAAATAATAAATACTAAAATCATACATTAAAAGTATAGTAATAAAATTTGTTTAGAAATTATCAATGATTTTTTTCCCTTTTAAACAAAATTAATAAATTTATTGTGTGTGTAAATTATTAAAAATATCAGCCAATATTTTTGAATAAAAAATTATATAAGTTTTATATNCTACAATGCATTGAGTGAAAAAAGATTACCACAATGAGCGATTTTGTTCTTTGAGCCTAACATACAGACTGTATAAACATATACAATATACAAAGGATATACAGACAAACAATATACAGACAAAAGCTGTGGAAAAGAATTTTGCAGAAAAAAATTTAGTTCATAAACTTCCACTATGGAGCACTTTACAGGAAAAAAAGCAAAACAAAACAACAAAAAATGCATTTATTTGTTCTGCAATGACATGTCTTCTGCAGAGACTGTTTACTGATGTAAGGATTGTTGCTCAATGTGTACCCTGTTATTCAGATGTAAAATTTGAAGAACAAATCATGATATTTGATTTGTTTAATCATTAACAAACTATAGAAATAATTATCATAAAAAATTTAATGTTGCTAATTAAAATATTAAGCCTTCTATTTCTGGCTCGCTCTTAAAGATTAAAAATTTTAATAAAAGAATCACCTCAGTTTACAGATTACAAAATAATAAATACTAAAATCATACATTAAAAGTATAGTAATAAAATTTGTTTAGAAATTATCAATGATTTTTTTCCTTTTTAAACAAAATTAATAAATTTATTGTGTGTGTAAATTATTAAAAATATCAGCCAATATTTTTGAATAAAAAATTATATAAGTTTTATATGCTTAGTTCCTTTTTTTTTTTTTAAGGGAACTCTAGAATATTTAAACTTTGCTGCATTATCAAAACTATTTGCTGCCAGTGTAACTTATCCATATCAAGTTGTTCGTGCAAGATTACAAGATCAGCACAAAAGTTATGCTGGTGTTGTCGATGTTTTAAAGAAAACGTGGAGGTAAAGTATTTTCATTATATTATGATACAGATATTTAATTTTTTTAGATGAATTGTTTCTGTTAAATATTACTTCAAATTTTTAAGAATTTTTTTACAACATTTTTAAGAATTTAAACATTCTTAAAAATGTTTACTTTTTCACATTTTCAATGTGACCTATAAGTAATACTCAACCAAACGATTGCCGTAAGTAATAGTTTATAGAAATTTAGATAATTTTTATAATATTTAACCTGTTAATTACAACTCAACATCAAAAAATTAACTATTATCAGTTTTTTTTCTAGCCTGTCATTTTAGCATCTAGTAATCAACTAAATGCTAAAACAGTTTTAATATATAATAATATTTAAATTAATATATTTTAAAAAAAATTTTAGTAAAGATTTTTTTATTGTTATCATTTTTGTTGTATTAATTTAACAGTATATATACAACAGTATGTTAGTATAGATTTTCTATTGTGTTTACCCGAAGTATTAAACTCATTTAGTTTATATCAGAGATCAGCAGTCTATAATATAGTGAGTGGCAAACAAATTAGCAAGGACAATATGTTGTTTACCTGTAGCATTTCTGCTTCAAAACAAACTGCTGTTTTATTCTAATTTTCATAGTGAATGTAAACATGGTAAATGGAATTTTATAGTAGAGTTCTTAGCTCTGTAACTACTGTAAAATTCCATTTACTGTGTTTACATTGACTAGAAATTTGTTCAATATCATATATGCCAACTATAGGTGAAGCTTTAGCTTTATAAAATTCAAAAATTCATGATACATAACAGATTTGTAAAACACAATAGAAGAATTATTTATAAAGATGCATTCCAAGACTAATTTATCACTTTTTCATATTTTTTTTTTTATTATCCATAAATATTGACTAAAGACTTTAGCAAATGCAACTAAAATATGAGTGTTGTTTCACATTAAATTTGCTTGTGATTGAATGATAAAAATGTTAGTGCCTATTCTATTTTTCAAAATTTTATTTTTGTTGGGAAAGTTTGTTGCATTAATAACAAAATAAATTAATATATTTTATTTTATGAATTACTTTGGTTTTAAAAACAGTTAAATTAGACCAGATTAGTATGCATCTAAATATAATGTTTTTCTTAAGTCTTACAGAATAATAGGCACAGATCTTTCACAAAATAAAAGTAGCACACTGAACTATTGCATTGTTACTTTGGCACAGCACCATCCATAAAATGTTGCTGATCTTTTAGTCTACACATCAGTTTTCTGTAAAATGTATTTTTGAAAGATTGGTGACTTAGCATACCTTTTAATTCATATATATTTAATTTTTAAGTTAGATTTTATATTTAAATGTTACAAGTAATAAATTAGATACAAGTTATATTTCAAACTTTTCTATATTAACAAAAAAAAAAGAACCAGAAATACAACTTTTATAATGCTCTGATTTATCAACATTACATTATCTGGAATCTGTGACCAGTGCTCTATGCGTATATATAGTATATTGCTTGACAAACGTTTTCGAGTGATCTGTTCGTTCTTCTTCAGTCGACCTGAAGAAGAGCAAACAGATCGCTCGAAAACGTTTGTCAAGCAATATACTATATATACGCATAGAGCACTGGTCACAGGTTCCAGATAGTGTAACGTTGATTTCACGCCGGTGCTGAAAGTAGAACAGTTCCTATAGCTCTGATTTATCACCTGTAATTTTTATGATAGAAAAATCAAACAGTTCTAACTGCTCTATTTAATTTTCAGATAATTCCATTATTTCTGCTTAGAGAAATTTCTTTAATTTACTCATCTATAATAATTATATGAAAGAAAAGTAAAAAAAATAGTCACAAATACAATTGTTCCTGTATAGTTAGATATTTAAGCATAGTCCATTGTGCCCTTCTTTATTTAGCATATGATAGCAATTATTTCAGACTATTGAAATTTTTAAAGTTTCTTCATATTAGGTACTAAATATAATTTACTTAAAGGAATATTTTTAATGAGTTAATTAAAATTCGATTGTCAAAATGAAAGGAAATTTAACTTTGTATATGCTATTTTGGAATGATTGATTTTTCTATTTTATATAATTATAATTTAAAATTTAAATTTCCTTCCATTTCAACTTATTCAAATTCTGATATACAGTGTTAAATAAACTTATAATGATCAAACTGTTAATGAGAAATTTCAAATAAAATATATTTGGTAACTCAATTTAGCAATCACTTTTTTGAATTTATATCAGAAAAATGGTTTCAAGATTTCTGGAATTTTGAGACCAAAAAAATATATATTAAAATTTTCAAAAGTAGAAAATAAAAATTTCATATTTGATCTCAAATATTTTTAAGAACCTGGCATTTTCAGGATGACACATTCTGAAAATGTTAGTGTAAATAATTACAGGCATCCATTTTTAAGAATGACTTTCCCAAAAAAAATTTGAAATGACAGGAATTTTTCAAAAAATTGAATTAGTGAAAACAACAAAAAAATTCTTATTTAATATTTAAATACTAATAAATTATACTAATTTAAAACTAAACAGAAATTAATATTTTATTTTTGTAATCTCTAAGTACTTGTAATTAGATGCCAAAAATAGCTAATAGTAAACTACACTACTGTTGCTGGTTAGAGAAATTTCTTTAATTTACTCATCTATAATAATTATATGAAAGAAAAGTAAAAAAAATAGTCACAAATACAATTGTTCCTGTATAGTTCCTGAATGCATCCATGTTGATTATTTTATAAACATTGATTCAGTCATTAAACATATTATTGAACTTAAGATGAGTATTGGAAGTATTATTGTACCAGTACCCTACAAAAAAGAAATTCAAAATGATTCAAGCTCAATTGATGCTTCTCAATTAGTTAAAACAGTTTTTAATATTTCTTGAGATTTATAGAAATTTTTCTTGTACTCTTATAATAAAAATTAGAGTTTGCACATGATGTATTTTACGTTATAATTATAAACATGCAACATTAGATGGCGGTTGTGCATTCAAACCGGTTACTTTGTAAAAATATAGCATTTTAAATTTTCTAAACTGATCTAGGATATAATCTTTCATCACTCATACACTACAGAATTTAAACCTAAGGGGTTGTATTTAAACATTGATTATTTTCTATATAAATAAATTTATGTAAAATTTAAAAGTAATAAACTCACCTCTAACTGTTTTGTCTTAAAACAGAATGAATAGTCTGTCACAGCTCCTCTTCACTGCTTGCCCTGTCTTTGCATACATTCAATACTTGTTGTAGAAGTTGTTCTAATTCGGTAAATCTAAATCAAGTTTGTTTCACTCTGATTGTAATTAATAGACAATAAATAAAGCATAATTCCAAACACATATATGAAGCAAAAACAGTATGTCCAACAAACACCAAGTGCATTCTTATGTGAGCATGTGTAGTGATGATGATTTATTGACAACAGTAAAGAAATGTGATTGGTTCCAAATTTTATAAAATAAATATCTAACGTCAAACTTTTCTTATGCTTATACCAGTACATTCTGCATAAAGATTTTTATTTCCGAGGGTCATTCAAATGGCCAAAAATGTTCAATTAGTTAATAAAAAGTTGCATTTTTAAGGTTTTTTTTGTCGATGTTTGATTAGCATAAAGTTACAATGGATGTTTTTATAAGATAAAGTACTGTACATTGTGTGCAAACTCTATATTATGCATGGAATATAAATTTTTAAGTCCTGGTTATCCCCTAGCACAATACTACAAGTAAATGATGGATTGTTTTAAAACATTTCAGGTCATTTACTTACAGCATTGTGTTATTTTATTCATATAAAAAATATAAATGATATGTAATAATATTTCATTTTATATTTTGGTTATATAAGTTATAAGTGACAAATAAAGTCTTGTATAAACATTTTTGAAATTAGCCCAACTTAAATGATAGAACTATTTTTATTTGATAAAAATCAATCATTTAAGTTGGGCTAATTTCAAAAATGTTTATAGTATTCTTTAAATTCAAAAATTTCTTTATGTATTATACATACATTTTTTGAATTTTTCTTTGTTACTGAAATAAAAATTCAGAAATAAATTTTAAAAAAATGTTGCAATATCTTATTTAATATAATAAATACTTCAAAAATTAATTAATTTAAAATGTCTCTCTCAAGTTAAAGTAAGACATGTTTTTTATTCAGCATAGTTATCTTCAATAAATTGTAGATGAAAGATCAATATTCAAATAATAAATAAAAATGTATGTAAATTTTATAACTTCTAAAAAATATTCAGGGTAATTATTAGAAAAATTTATAAATATGTTTGTAAAATATAAAATTAGTTTTAGCATTTGTTAAATAGTATTACAATAGCATCTTTTGTTTTTAATGTGAATGATGGTAATCTAAAAACATTAAATAAATACAGTAAATTCCCTGTTAATCAGAAACGAATTATGGAAGAGTGCTTTGTCAACAAAAACGTAATACGGTAGTTTTTATTTCATAAAATTTGGCCAGGCAATGCATAATACTCAAAAAAAGGCTCTAATTTTAAAAGAAAAATTACTTGAAACAACATGCATTTTAATTGTAATCAGAAATTTACACACGACACCAATTGCAACACATTTAAAATTATTAAGCTACTTAAAAAATGACATGATTTATTTATTTTAAAACAAATGCTGGATAAAATGTGTCTTTTCTTTAATTTGTGAAATTATTTGTAGTAATATAATTAGTGATTAAAAATACCATGAATAGATTGATTACCCTAGGATAGTTTTCCTTCTTAGGTTTGAAGGCATAAGGGGTTTTTACAAAGGTCTACCAGCATATTTAATCCATGTCACCCCAAATATATGCATCGTCTTTCTAGTATATGAGAAATTTCGGCCTTCGGACATTATCCTCGCCAATCAGGAAGAATAACGAATTCCATGATTTAGGACGCGTTGAGGGCATTAGAACATTTTGGACATGTATTTATTTAATCCAGAGTTTTATTTATTAGATGTATAATATTAAGTTATGCAGAAGACAAAATGTAAATTTCAAAATTTCATTCCATATTGTATGCAATAATGCTCTTTCCATTTTTTTTTATGTAAAAATTTCTGTCATGCTTTTTTGTTCTGTGTACTTTTAAAAATTCTGTTGCGTGACTAATGAATTCTGTAAAATCTAACTGCTTAGAAAATTCTTTTAATTGCTTTTTCACATCTTTTGTTTTGTAAAAAAATTTCAAACACGCATGTAATTTTCTTTGCACTTCAATGTTTTTCACTGTTTCTAGTAATTGTCATCAAGTCTAATTTGTTCTTATGTTCTCACGATACTATTGTTGTGATTTGCAAATCTTATGTGACCTCTCCACTTAAACATGTTTGTACCAACCGACAACTTTGTGTGACTTCAGGTTCAAAACTGCGGCAGGAAATCATTTCCCCATATAAATGCGCACAACTTCCGAGGAATAAATTTTCCTAATTTTTATATATTTAAATTGGTTTGTAACTTTTAAATCTATTGATAATTGCACAAAAATATATTTGGATACAAATGACAGTTTTATGTAATTTTTGGAAAGTAATATTGCAATAACAAATTAATTTAAGAAAAAATAGAAATTTTAAGGAATGTATTTCCCTTCTTGTTTAGGTATGAAGGGATTGGTGGCTTTTATAAGGGTCTACTCCCCAACTTGTTGCGGGTGACACCTGCTACAGCCATAACTTTTGTGGTTTACGAACACATTTCACGTTTTTTACTTAACTGAGGTCATTTTTAAAGCATTGTCATTCCAGTTTGTAGAAATATGTTATAATTGTTAGAAAAATTGAAAATAAAAAATGGATTTGTTTAATTGTTTTTCTCTTTATTTAACTGAAATTTGTATTTTTATAATTAAGAACCATATAAATAAATTTTAAAAATTGTATTTTTCTATCAAACAATAATTACATAAATATTACAATGGTGCTCTTTTATGTAAAGTCTTAAATTTTTCTTAACAATATCATGTTAAAAAAACAATTTATAAAAACTAAACAATCTTCATACTTAAATTATCACAATTATTGATACATGTCAAACTAGAATTTGATTCAACCATTATACTAAGCAAATTATTTGTTTTTACATGCTGATAAAACTATTGTTTACCAATCTGAAAAATATTTTCTAAAAGTAACTATTTAATAACTTCAATTATAATCTAAAACAATACAAAAACTAATATTTTAAAACCTACATATTCATTATGACAGTTCTTTTTATTTCAAAAATCTGTTGTCAACAAAACTACCATATTTTCATACAAATCCAAGGAAATTGCATGATGATGATGTTTTAAACAAGAATAAATTAACGTATATGTATATATATAATGTTATATAGATTAATGTAGTGGTTCCCAAAGTATGGTTTCCTATGATTTGCAGACCCTTAGAGTTCATTCGAAATGCATTTTATGTGAGGCAAGTGACCTCTTATCAAAAATAAGTAATGTTCTGTAGAGAAACTTGACTTGTTTCTATCAGCATATTTTTAGGAAGATAACTTCTGAACATTTTGTGGGTCCAGTTTGGGAAACACTGCATTAATGTATTGAAGTTTCTTGTTTACTGGAAAAGAAATTAAAATTAGGAAAATCAAAGTTTTTCTTGAATTGTGTACTTCAGTGATAGTAAATTTCAGTCACATAAAACAATGTTACAAAATAAGTCTTGCTTAAGATAAGTCTTTTGATATTCTGAATTTCTATTTCAAACCAGTACAAGTAAGCTAATTTGAATAAATATTTACATTTACTCAAATTATTTGTAAAGTTAAGTTGATTGATCTTGTGATTTTAAATGTAATTTCAAAATATTTATCACAGCTGCAATATACTTTCATAAATATTAAATATAGCATTGTGAATAACAGTTGATTACTTTGTACAAAAACATTAATAGCAGAAATTTATATTTACAGTGTCTTATACATTTAAATTCAGTATAATTCTGTAAAGCAAAAAATAACTTTCTTAAATATTCTTAATTATAATGCCTGAAGATATTCCAAATGGATTAATAAAGTTAATTTCAAAAAAATTGTTTATAAATTTCTATTATAATTTAGTTTAAGCTAAACCTTATATTAAGTAACAAAAAAACAATTAGCAATCTGCATGTGAAAGTTGCTGAAGCCAACTACTGTATATAAAAGATATCAGGCATAAGTTTAATACATCTTTATCACTGGTATCATCACTAATTATGGTATATACATGGTTATTGTTTTAGCAAAATCAAATATATTTGATTTATCCTAATATTATCTTTAGCATTCATAAATTAATTAAGTGATTATTGATGTTGACATTCATTTAATTATATTTAAATCAAAGTTTCCTGTTAATATAAAGACAATGGTTATAAGCATTCAACATTGTAAAAATAATTGCTTAGCATTTAAAATATTAAAATATACTGGGTTCATTGAATAATTTACATACATGTCATTAACAATTATATGAGTATGTACTGAGAAATACATTACAATACAAGGAAATTCATAAGTGAAAAATATCCTGCACACTTTAAAACTTTACTGCATTGTATAGTATTGCCAAGAGAACTTGCAAGATAAATAAAACTTGGTATAATTTCACTTGACCTTCATAAGGTCTTCTCAACTGACAATCCAGAACAAATCTTTTTTTTTTTCTTAATTGAATCAATTATTTGTTGTGGTGATATATGCCGTGGGCCAAAGGAATGCAACAATATAATAACTACACAATCTGTAGTCGAGAGTACTGGTTATGTTTTAGTTGTGCTATCCTCCCAACAGATGGCTTATTTGTTAAGCTCCAGATGCATCTGTTGACATCCTGTAATAAACTTCAGATTGATGATCTTAGTTTTTTGGTATACCTCATGACATACCACAGTTGATAGATGTTTCTTGCATCATGAGTTAACAAAAGAAATGTTGCTGATAGAAAGAACATTGCCAACAACAGTCCAAACTATAGTCCTAACACCTGGATATTCCCATAATTTTCATTCCTGCTCAGTATATATGAGCATTGCAATCAGTGCAGACAATTAAGTTACTTTGCCAGAATGTGCAGGAACTGTTAGCTTCAACCAATCAATCCATGATGAAGTTATGAAAAACCCTAACCATCGTCCTACTGTTTACTGGATGTGATCAGTTTGAGCAACATTGAAAGTTGGAATAAGCAATTGGGGATTGTGGAAATATGTCTGTCAATTTTAAATCANTGCACACTTTAAAACTTTACTGCATTGTATAGTATTGCCAAGAGAACTTGCAAGATAAATAAAACTTGGTATAATTTCACTTGACCTTCATAAGGTCTTCTCAACTGACAATCCAAAATAAAAATCTTTTTTTTTTTTTCTTAATTGAATCAATTATTTGTTGTAGTGATATATGCTGTGGGCCAAAGGAATGCAACAATACAATAACTACACAATCTGTAGTTCAGAGTACTGGTTATGTCTTAGTTGTGCTATCCTCCCAACAGATGGCTTATTTGTTAAGCTCCAGATGCATCTGTTGACATCCTATAATAAACTTCAGATTGGTGATCTTAGTTTTTTGGTATACCTCATGACATAGCACAGTTGATAGATGTTTCTTGCACCATGAATTAACAAGAGAAATGTTGCTGATAGAAAGAACATTGCCAACAACAGTCCAAACTATAGTCCTAACACATGGATATTCCCATGATTTTCATTCCTGCTCAGCATATAAGAGAATTGCAATCAGTGCAGACAATTAAGATACTTTGCCAGAATGTGCAGGAACTGTTAACTTCATCATGGATTGATTGGTTGAAGCTATGAAAAACCCTCACCATCATCCTACTGTTTACTGGATGTGATCAGTTTGAGCAACATTGAAAGTTGGAATAAGCAATTGGGGATTGTGGAAGTATGTTTGTCAATTTTAAATCAGAAACCAGGGACTGTATTCTGGTCACCGCCTCTGGACTCTCGTCTCTCACAAGCCAGTCACTGATTGGTTAATCCAAATGATTAGCCAATTAGCGACCAGCTTGTGAGAAACGAGAGACCAGAGACAGTGAGCAGAATATGACCCCAGAGCAGGCTATAATGTAATAATGAAGAATTGTGGAAAAACTAAACCTAAATCAACAACTACAGGCAATTATATATTTTGACATTGTCACAATTCTTGGCTGCAATTAAATCATATTTTTGATTTAATTTAAAATATATGCTTTGGAGTTTAGCAGTGTCGTGCCCCTGTACATCATACTTTTCCTGTTAACAATAGTCATGCCAGTCATCTAACTCCATTCTGGAGAAAAATTTTGAATTAAAATCATGTAACTTCTGGTCCAAACCAGAAGTTTTTATATACAGGGTTCTTACTCAAATTTTTGTTTTAATTTCAATGACTTTCCCTGACCCTCATGTCCCTTATAGTTCAGCACATTGGCAAAATAAAACAGCATTTTACTTACTATGCACATATGGTTTGCTTCTCCAACATTTTAATTAAATTAATTAATTAATAGTTATATATTTTTTATAATTGCAGAAATTAAAATAAAATGTATTATTAAAATTCTGTTATTAATCCACAACCATAAATCTACATGGCTTTAATAAAAAGTAATTGATTTTTTTTCTTCATTCATTAACAAATTCTATATGGTCCATATACAAAAGTATATATTTATTAAATTTCTCTCTTAATAAATTTCCTGAACTTTATAAAATATTAATAAACTGGAAAAAATCAGAAATTGTTTTGTCATGCGATCAAAATAATTTTAATAATTTAAATGGTATTATTCATTGAATAAATAATACCATTTAGATTTTTATCATTTTGTGTACTTTACACAAAACTTTTCCAAAAATTTACAAGCATAAGAGAGAGATTTTGGGTCCTGAAAATATTCTGCACCCCTTTTCATAAGTTATATTGCATCACATTACTTCTGCTGCCTGCAGATGGATACACTTAGTCAAGCATATTGTCAGAAAGAAATCAACAAGGAAGCAAATTCCCTGACTTTTGACAATTTTTAACAAATTCCCTGACATTCCATGACTTTTTCTGAACACTGATGAAAATCCCTGACTTTCCACGTGTGTAGGAACCCTGTATATAGTTAATTGGGATTCCTGCCCTAAGCTTTCCATATCTGATCTCTGCTTTCATCTACCTAACTACATTCTCAAGATTAGAGGAGGACAGATAGACAGATGGATACCAATGGAAATACCATTTTGGGCTGCAATTTTCAAATTGCAGCCCATAAAGGTATTAAAGTAAACTCTCAAATTGTAATGGTTCAGATATTCCAGTTCTGAGTATTGCTAAGATGCACAGTAAAGAATTAATGTAGTATTGAATTCTATATTGCTGACTGTAAAAGAATCGTACTACTGATATATTGCAGGAAAATCCTGTTTTATCTACTAGAACCACTTAAAATAGAAATGTCAGAAATGGAATATAACAACATTATTAATAGATGAACCCACTGAAGTTACAAACCCAATTTCCATAGTCTAGAAACCCAACAAATCTTTGATATGGTAATATGTCTAGATCTTTGGTATCTAAACTCATGTTTATCAATTCCCTACTTTTTGAAGTAATTGCTAGCTGTCTAGCAATGCAAAAATATTCTCTATATTTGATGCATTAGGCAAGAAAATGTTCCAAGTGACTACCTTTCAAACACCATTCCTAAGTATGGCATACAATATCACCATAGCCTCAAATCTTTCACAAATTATATCAAGTTTTTAATGACCTTCCTAATGTTGCTCTATATTGTTGATATAATTGTATATAGTAATAACAAAAAATAACACGAGAAGACATTAAGGCAAGTCTTTGAAAGGACTAAAGTAAATAGTCAAAATTTGCTGCAGATAAATTTCCAGGACAAACCTTTAACTTTATATATTCCTACATCATTAACATTAATGCTAAAATTGACACAATCTCAACATGATATAAAGAAGAAAGATTTAGATTGGGCACAAATCTGGATAGGTTATTTTTGCTAACAGATATTACATTACTTTAATGAACTAATAAGCACACAGTAAATTTAATCATCATCAAAGAAAAGTTAACCAATAGTACTGTTTTATAATTCTATGACATGAACAAATGTACTCTCGGAGTAGATGCTAGTAGTGGCCTGTTTACCTGTGGCACAAGCTTCAAAAGCACTTGCAGTGTATCAGAAAAGCTGGATTCAAATTGAAAAATTATTGCCAAAATCTATAATATCTATTTATAGAAGAAACTGAAGCAAGTAGGAACTGCAAACTGTATCAATTTTAATAAAAAATGGATGATTGTGTTTGCAGTAGCACAAAACAGTAGCATCCAGACCCATAGCTATGGGGACTATGAGGTTGCTAAGCAACTTCAGCTTAATCATTAATCCTTATATGCAGCATATGTTATATATGTTTTCACTTTCATCACGTAAATTTAAGCCACTATTACTTATTATACTTAAATTGTAGCTAATAGACCTAGTGGCAAATGATAAAAGAAAAGTATTAGTCACAATTACTAGTTTGTTCCTGTACAGTACCATCAATTACTACAGGACTGATAACACCCAGTTCACACTACCAAGCAATGGTATGGCATAACAACGTAGCCTTTTTTAGTGACTTCTTTACAGTCTGTATCTAGCACTACTAGAGTTAAACAATACACATATAAAAATAAAATAGAATACCCAAATAAGTTACCTCATATTTCTTCCAAGTAATAGTATAACCTGCTTTAATGAATGGTTAGATAATGATGATGATAGTAGGAACATCTGGAAGAGCTCCTAAACAAGAAAATAATCAAAAAATGTACTGTGACTGAAAAACAAAAAAAAAACTCTCATTATTACTATACTATGCTTATTTAGTTATTGTGCATTGTATTAGATTAATAATTCGTGTAAATAAAACAAGACAGTGTTATGATAATGGTATATATGCCATGTGCTATCAAGTACAACAATACAGCTACATAAGAGTATTGCTATGTATGTTAATTGTTGCATCCTCCCAACAGATATATAGAGATTTTACAAACATGCTAACTAAAATAAGTTTATTACAGTATGTTGACAGATTGATTGATAAATCTCATGAAATCATCTAAAAAATTTTTGTTTTTCTAGAATATTATTTTTATTGTAGCAAGTTTTATTTTGCATATTCTCTCAACACTGTTCTGTTTAAAACTTTACTCTATACATAGTCGTATTAATTTAAAAGTTACTATCAGTTTTGATAATGAGATTAGAAAAGTATAAAAATGCAATCTATATTATTAGATTCAAGTAATGAAATCTTCAAAGTTTGAATAGTTTATATCAGGCTAAAGCTAAATTAACACAATAATACTGCATCATATTTCAATAAAGTGTCTCAATTTAAATCATTTCCAAAAACTTTCTTTGTCAAATAGACAATTTAATAATAGGAGCTGTTTAGCATGTTTTCAATTTTTATATAAATGTTTTATTTCTTAAATGTTAAAATGCTATTAGCTTTTGTAGATATTAGTATGTAACAATAGTCTTTCATATAAATTTTTTTAAAAACAATATCACATACAAATTGCATCCTTCTTTGAACTTCTATACTTTAGTTGCCAAAGATTGTCGTTATTAATATTATACTTTCTATATTGACATATAAAATATCTTTTTATAAACATGTAATTTCTATACAATAACTTTTGATTATATTAATAACAATTTCATATTTACAGAAAATAATTATTTTATATTAAACCAAGCTGTTTCTGAATATGTCAATAATTTTATAACAGATAACCTTTATTAAATTTGATTTGATTTTATGCAATTATTATTAAATTACCAAATTAATGTAGTTTTTTAAAAATTATTTATAAGCTATGTAATATTTTATTCCAAATACAAAGACACAAAATTAGATTTACAGCCACTCCCTGACATATATAGATCATGATCTGCAGAACATTATGCAAGATGAATTGCACTAAGTTAAATTTACATAAATCAGAAAGTGGCCGTATGTCAATCTTCAGATTTAATCTAATGACTTATCATTCAAGTGGATTTGATAAAAATGAATAAAGTAAATGTTTAACTTCTGAATTCAAAGTTCATACTTAATAAAAGAATTAAATTTCAAGAGGAATAATCAATTTGACTTTTATACACAGTTATCCTTTCAAGAGAAAAATATGTAAATGAAATAACAGATTCATACATTTTTCTTAATAATCATAATTATTCTATCAAATTGATTGCCCCTTAATGTACACTATTATACCAATTTGACATCCTTTTACACTTTTCCATTACAAAAACATACATGAATGACATCAAACTGACATAAAAGCATAAATAAATCTTAAGTAAATATGCTTCATAATAAATCCGTGGACAATTTTTAACGGAACTTAATTTTTATACATTGGCAAAGTATAAAAATACTATTGGTCCCTGATACATATCTTAAAAAAATGGAACTAATTATACACTTTAATTATTTTGTTAGAATGCTTGCAATGATTATTATTATTAAAATAAAAATCTACATCTAATTTCCTTCTCTTAATAGTATAAAGTAGTTTTATAATGATACATTAAACAATCTTGTGTTCATATTATGATTTTTTAATGGAATCATGTAATCTCATTTATATATAGTTTAATGTTAAACATGAACAACTCTCATTAAATTACATTAAAAGTTTAATACCTATTACTTGAAGTATCATTCATAAAACTTTTTCCTTTAACATTGGAACGAGTTATCAAACTTCCTAATCCTTCGATATGGATATCAAAGTTTCATTTAAAAAATTGCTTTAATTAAATTAACTTTGGAAGCTTTTCATAAGATTTCCAATTATAAGGTTCAGTCCAATTTATTATTTTATTCAACTGTGTTTAAAACAAGTTTCAAAAATAACAATTTGAAAATGATGGATGTTAATTCAAGAAATCTGATCAATAATATTTATTTTTTAAAAAGGAAAGGAAAAGGAACATAACTAAATATGATACAAAGATGAGTAAAGGATAATGAATTACAGATAAAACTGAAAATATTTAAGTAAATAAATCTTGAAAATGTATTTTATTTAAATGATATAAAGAATATCATTTAAATAAAATACATTTCCTATAATTATAATCACTAAAAATAAACATTACATTTTCAATGTTCTAACAGTTATAAAATGTCTTAATTTTTTCAAATAGCCAATTATAATTATTATCTGATTATTGTATAATCAATTTAATGACAATTTTTATCTGTTTGGAAATGTTTCACCTGTAAATAAAACTATTCAGTTTCATTACAAAAATTATATTAATGTAAGAGTTTTTGGCATCATATTTATTTTTGTATTAATTAGTAAAATTCTATATATTATTGGTAATTTTAAACAGATAAATAAATTATAGATAATTCTTGAATGATATTCATCAGTGTACCTAATCTATAATTACCCTTAAAATATTCTGATCATGAATATCCTTAATAATTATTTACTGTATGCTTATTATCTTCACTAAATTAACAAACATGAAACAAAATTTGTACCATTTAAATAGCATTTTGACTGAGTTTGCCATTTATAAACAGAATAATAAGAAAATGCAAGATCATTATTTGCAAATTATCTTAAACCTGACTGTTCGTTGCTGTCATAATATTGCAATTTCATATTCGGTTACTATTAAAGCATATTAATTATATATATTAAATAAAATTATAAGAAATACTTTAAAAGTAAAAGGAACATACATTATTTGCTGAAAGCAGATTTTATAGTGAGAATTTGACTAGATGCATTCATATCTGCAGATAATTGAAGTGTGCAATGCCATAATTTATCATTGAATGCCATTTTTCTCTAAATACATTTTATTGAAGAACTGATTTCTAAATGCAATGCTTTCTGCTAAAAAAAATATTTGTCAATATTGGCACTGTAAGTGGCTGTATTTTGAAGTTGAATTTATGTGTAGCCATAATGTTTAAAGCACCAAAGTGTTAAGTCATGTGATTTTTGGCATTTAAAACATTACAGCTTATATTTACATCATTTTGATATTCCAGGGAATTTGTAGTCTAGTGAGTTTTTTTTACCATTTTATTGTAAAATTTAAATGAATTCATTCACTAGAAAAAGTGTTTTTTTACCTCACCTGAAAAGTTTGTTTTTTGGCATTTACAACAATAAATTATTGGCATTGCACTCTTCAATTAAGCATTCTCATAATATAAATGTATAATTCCAAAATACATAAAATCTTTGACTACACAGTAGTTATACTAAATTCATTTTAAAAAATGTGTAGCTTGTAAAAAATTAGTTGTAAATAAAATATAATTTCCATTTAATAAAATTTATACTTAAGTTAAACTAAAGTTTCAATAAAAATTCTCAATAAACATAACAAAAAATATAAAACACAGCAACATCAATTAATTTCCTATACTTGTTGCATTTATATGAACATCGGCAGTGACAATATGTTGAACGCCATCATCCTCCTCATCAGAAGAAAAACTATTATAATTTTGACTATTCTGAGATTTTCTTCTCCAATGGTGAATGGGATTATAAGAAGGATAATCAATACTTCCAACACTGTCTTTTCTGTCATCTTGAATTTCAGATTCCTCTCTATAAAGAATTTCGGATTCCTCCTCCGATTTAAGTAAGGAATCTTGTCTGCAAAAGTCGTTTCTTTTATCGTCATTTGTTTTAAATTGCTCATTCTCTTCTATGTTTTCTTCATCGGAATTATATTCAATTGATAAGCAGGTTTCATGATAAGGAATAGAATCTTCAAAAATGGATCCTTTGGATACTTGACGAACAAAGGTATTTGAATGGTCTTGAAGAAAAAAACAATTAATATACATTACAAATTTTAATTTTTAGTAGGATGAATAATAATAAAATTAAGTTAAATATCTTGGTATATTAAAATAAGTTAATAATAAAAAAGTTTATAGAATCTTTGATGAACACAAACATAATTAAGGATTAGATTATTTCATGAAACAACAAATTATTTTAATTTTAGGATGCATTTCCTAGTAAAGTTGCTTTACTTAAGCTTCTGGAGGGTGCTTTCACAATTTCCACTTTTCTAAGAAACACTTCTACACCTAAGCTACTCAGCATTGTTGTTTGGCTCTTTGTACAAATGGAAATGTTTAGTCAGAAACAATGCAGAATTATTGCTGAGACTATAAAATATCAGAGTCAGCCAAGTAAGAAAATTTGATATTGTGTATAAGTGCAATTACGTATATAATAAATGATAGAATGTGTGCTTTAGTCATTACCAATAAATCTGAAAATGTTTGTCTGAATAGAAGATTGTGTAAAATTGCATTTCTAATTTTTCTGATAACCAGTTTAAAACAGATTTTGTTATGTCACAATTTTCATTTTAGGTACAGTATATAATATGTGTATAATTTATGGTGGCAGCCATCTTACATTCTGTCTTCAGCATTTGTGAATCTTGCTGTACCAGCTCTACAGCAGCCAACTTAAAGTGGAAATAGTTTACTGTCTTTTAACAAAGAAACTTTACTTGGAATGTACCCTTAATCTTTAACTCTACTTCTTATAATTGAAATTTTGTTATCATTGTTCATTAATGAGTTTTATTTCATAGATCCAAAATAAAATATTCATTATTTGATTTTTGAAAATCCTAAAACATTATAATCATTCCATGCTATGTAAAAAATAACCTATTTTTAAAAGTAACTGTGTTGAAAACATATTAAAATTATGAAATTTACTATGTAAAGTAATCTATCATTTCTTATTTAATTATTATTTAAATAAACTATTTCCAAATTTTTTTTTCATACACTTAAGAAATTTTTTGACTCACTTTATTTTTATTTATAATGTGGTTTATGTATAAAATTTCTTAGATTACTCAGTGAATAATAATAATTAAAAAAATTCACAACAGATCTTTTGTAGTCTACTACTAGAATAGTAATCTTCAAGAAAAGTACATTTCTTTGGTAATTTTGAAACCTTTGTCAATGATTTCAATTCCTATAAAAAAAAATCACCCAGTTCCTTTATCTTTTAATCTAAATGTAGGCACCTCTACCTGTTTTCTTGGAAAAAATTTTGATGTCATTGTTTTCCTTGTTTAATTCTGTATCGAATGAACTGTATTTTATAGGGGATAATGGTAGATGTCCCAAAATACCCAGTTGTTACCTTTAAAAAAATACACTTTTAGACTGTGTAAATTATTTAATAAAAAATGTTATTAAACCTTGGTCAACATTTTCTGTTATCATTTCATAGATTTCTTCTTCTTTATCAGAACCTGATTTCTCTCTCAGATAGTCTTCATCACTTTCTGATAAATGTTCCTGTTCTACTTCTTTTGGCAAATCTTCTTTTATATCTTCATTTTCACTCAATATTTGCTCCTCTGGAATTTCTTCAACTATCTCCTTATCACTTTCCTAGGAAAAAAATGACAACATTTAATAATATAATTGATACAATATGTATTTTAATTATGATTAACAGATAATGATTATTTTACTTGTAAATTTTCTTTTATGTCTGTATTAATCTGCTGCTCCAATTTTATATTTTCTGATTTTTCCACAGGTTTTTCATATGCTTATTAAACAAAATGTATTCATATTTATTATTATTAGTTTTTAAAATATAAATTGTAATTATTATTATTATACATATTCAACATGTAAATGTAATAAAAGAAATAAATGATTTTATGAATTATCAAAAAATAATGAATGATTTCAAAATATACATTGACAAAGAGAGAAATATCTTCCTGATAAAAAGTATTTCAAAAACACTAAATAAGTAAATAAAAACAAGAACTTATACTGGAATGAATAAATAATATAAAATAAAATAAACCTTTAACTATCCAGCAATAAAAAAGGATATTTTTATTGCTGGATAGTTAAAGGTTTATTTTATTCTATAACACTAAATAAGTTTTTACTGAATGAATTTTCAAATTATACTATTTTTAAGAATGCAAATATCCATATTTCCACACATATAAAGTGTTCTTATAAATAGGGGAAAGATCAACAATATTTATTTATTTTATTTTATTTTATCTAATACAGTGGTTCTCAACCGGGGGTACATGTACTCCTAGGGGTACGAGTGTAAATCGAAGGGGGTACATCTAACTTTCATTATAAAATGGCGCATGTTAATGAATTTGCTGTAAATTATTAACACAAGAAATGACAAAAACTTGCTTTAAAATATCCCAGTATGAACACTGATTTCCCTTTTAACAGTCCAAACAATTTGTTTATCCACTTGATTTACCTGTCTATTTGTGCTGTTAGTGCCGAGTGAACCTGTAGTCTAGTAAAATTTCGATTTAACCAAGCATTAATTTTAGAATAGATGAAATCACCGATGTCAGCGGATTGACAGTACTTTTAGTTTTTGTGAAATATCAGTACAATGATGAGCTTTGTGAAGATTTGTTAATGTGTGATGACCTAAAAAATACAACTACGGGTTTTGATATTTTCAATAAAATCGATGATTTCATTCGAAGTAATGAAATAGATTGGAAAAAGTGCATTGACATCTGCACTGATGGAGCTAAAGCTATGTAAGGTCCAATTTAAAAGGTCTAAAGAAAACTTTTACCATTTTAATAACATATTTGTGACAAAAACTAAAAAAAAAGAAACAGGCTTGACGCATCAGCAGACATTCGTTGTCAGTTAACAAAGTGGGAACCAAATTTGAAAAAAATTGCTGAAGATTTATCGCAACAAATATCCCATTAAATTGTTAGAAATTATTGTAGAATAATTTAAATTTTGTTTATTGTGAATTATAATTATTTATTTTTAGGAAATGTAATTTATGCATGTATTGAAATGACTTCTATGATTTTATATAATATAGTTATCAAATAACAATAAATAAATGTATGTACAGTGCCTGTTTAAATTGATTATTATTTACATAAAATAAGTAATCCACTTTTAATTATAGTTAGTTAGTGAGAGTTTTTTTATGGCGCTCAGTTATAAGGGCTGTATACATCTAATGCAGTAATTATAAAATTTACATACAAAAATATAAGGGGTACTTGAGAAACAACTAATGGGCTAATGGGGTACATCAACAAAAAAGGTTGAGAACCACTGATCTAATACACAGAACATGTTATGAGGACAATATTGGCCTCCTCCACACAATAAACAAAGTGAAAATTCCAGAATATAATTACTTATTTTTAAGGGAAAGTATCAAGGAACGTGTACAATTTTTTTCAACTTTTCTAATTAATTTCTAATTAATAAGTGTTTTAAACTAATAAGAAATTACTAGTTACAAGATTTAATAGCAACTAATAATTATGGAACGTTCTCCTGTTAAACGTGGTCGACCTCTGAGCAGCCGAATGAAGGCCGAAAGCAAAAGAATGCAACAAAGTGCAACCAACACGAAACTGATAACTGATTATAACACAATAGTGGAAAGCAACATACAAGAATTTCCGACAAATTCAAATGGAACTAACATGGATACCATTCCACAACATCTACAAAATTTATCAGGTGAGTGCAGAGACTTTTATTCATCTTCGTCGTCAAATTTGAAAGACACTTTAACGTCAGATCTATGGAGCAAAATCTCGAAATTAATTAATACATCGAATGATAAACTATCTCTACAAATGACATCAATAAAAGAAGACTTGAACTTAATACACGAAACCATACAAGAAAACAAAATTCAATTCCAAAGAATGGAAGATCAAATAGATAACTTGAAACTGCATATTGATAATTTAAAACTTCAAAAAGATCTGACGCAATATAAAATGGATACTTTGGTAAACGACTATCACTATAATAAAATAATATTATACAACTATCCCACTTCAAAAAACGTCTCTAAACCAGAATTTCTGAAATTTATTAATACTTCATTGGATCTAAAGAACATATCTCAAGACAAAATTTCAGAAATAACTCAAATCAATAAATCAGCTAATCCAGTAATTAGAGTTTCCTTCAATAATAAACAGATTCGAGACCAAGTTTTTAATACGTTTATATCAAAGAAGCAACAAAAACTATTGGTAAATTGGGGAAATTTGCAAATTGCACCATATCTCACTAATGAATCACAAAAAAGAAGGAAACAATTACTACCAATTTACTACGATTTAAAACATCAAAATCGATATGTTAAACTACGAAATGATATCCTGATAATAGACGAAAACAGAATAACATTTAACCTTGAAACGAGAAGTTTAGTAAATGTGGATACCTTTTTTTCCCTTTAATATATCACCAGAACCAACAAGTTGATATGAACAGCATAGTAAAAAGCACCAGATAAAAGTTAATAAAAATAATAAGGCTATCTTGCTTTTAAATTGGACATATTGCTCAAAATTTAAGTTGGAATTTAAGTTAAACTACTTTTGATTAATTTCTTGGCTAAAATAAGTTTAAATTAATTTCGTTAGAGTAAATATTAACAATAATTAAAATGCAACGATCCCCTACGAAACGTGGAAGACCACCACTTAATCGAACTAGACTAGAGAACAAACAGAATCAATTGTCCACATCGAATTCTAAACTCATCACGGACTATGGATCACACTCGAAAAAAGAATTACAAGATGATGTTATAGAGAAAGAGAATAATAATCTGATCTTACTTCAACAATGTTCTCAAAACTTTACAAGTGAGTCAAGCAATTCTAATTCAACACTACTAAATAACCCGGATACCCAATTAGACACTACAACTGCAATCTTATGGAATAAAATATCTAATTTGATAAATACTTCAAATGACAAACTGCTCAGCCAAATGACCTTAATAAAAGAAGACTTAGAATTAATACATAAAGATCTACGTGAAACTAAGGAACAATAAATAAAACTGGTGGAAAAATTATAGATTTAAAACAAAAGACTGACAATCTACAAATCGAAAATGAACACAAGTAATTTAAAATGACTAATAATTCAATGACTAATAAATCAATTTCGTTTAAATAAATATTTCCTCTACATTAATAATTATATAAAATTCAAGAATAATAAATGCTTTTTTATGTAACTCTGAGGAATTTTCACCTTTTCAATTGCTATTAAAATGTAGAAAACTTAATAGTATACATGATCAATATGAAATTGTTCGTATATGCAATAGCAACTCGCAACTTGATCTTACAATAAATTTAAACAATATTAATAAAAGGATTTAGATAAATTTATAATTATTTAATTAAAATAATGGATATATAAAAACTTAAGCTAATATCTTAAATATGTTTAAAAATAATCCTTCAAAATTGTAACGAAATAAAAATAATTTTAATATATTTATACAAAACTTCTATTATAATATAAATGTTTAACGCAAAATAAATGTATAAATTAGAAAATAATAAATAACTTGTAATGACCAAAAAACTACTGTAAAATATAAATGTAAATCTATCCAACTTATTTGATTGTATTCCCCCTCCATAACAGGGAAATTATTCCCATTTGCAAATAAAGATTATTTGATTTGATTTGATTACTTATTTTTAAAACATTTTTATAGAATCAAAAGTATATTTTTATTTTGGTCTTTATTTTTAATAGAGTTTACATGTAATTTACATTGAGACAGCAGTGTAGTGCTTTTATATGCAAGTTATGCTCTTATAAGTGAAGCAGGATATGTGTTTCAAAACTGAAAAAACAAGTGATTTTCATATATAAGAGCATACTCTTAGTTGTGCAGAAATATGATATGAAGGAAAGTAATTAAATTACAAACAAATATTTATCATGAAATAAGCAAGACAATTTATAACATAACATTCATTATTCAACAAAATTTCTGTAAACATTCAGGGAATGTTTATAGAAATTTTGTTGAATAATGTGCAGAACTAACTTTATTCTGGTAGAATATTATTCAACATGTCTGATGTTCTACCAGCTTCTGAAAACATACTGCCTGAAATCCTACTAGTTACAGTCAGAATCATTGCAATACATGTTCCTGAACCTCTTCATTGCTTGAGAAACATCTGCCAACTAAACATTTTTTTAAAGATCCAAAAAGGTGATAATCACTCAATGCCAGATCCTGGCTATAAGATCTTTTTTGGGGCTTTAAAATAATACTTCGCCAGAGAAGGTTTTCAAGCAATGAAAAGATTCAGATGACCATGACATCAATCAATAGACTTTTATACAATATGTTTTCAGAAACCAGTACAACATTAGGACAAATGCATGAATGTTTATAGAAATTTTGTTGAATACTGAATGTTATGTGTTAGAAATTTTCTTGCATATCTCTTCATAAAATTTTTTTTCCTAATTACTTGTCCCCTTGTGTATAGAGTGAGCTTAAAAAACATTGTGAATCATCAAAGATAACATGTGAAAACTGTACCATGAAGGTTAAATAAATACAGTAATACAGAAAATATCATCAAACATCTCAACCAGAGACAAGAATCATTGTCATAGTTTTTATATGATGATGAAAAGATAACAACCCTCTTTTTTTATTATATATTTTTTTATTTTCATATCTTATACTTTATATCACAGTTTATTTAAATTAAATGTTAGTAAAATAAATATGTAAAAACACAATAAAGTTTTTGATATAATCATATTTAAAATTAAAAACAAAATTGTTTTTCTCTTACTTTTATCAAAAGAATCTACAGTTATTGATCTCTCTGATTTTTGGCTGCTTCCATTAATACTATTTTTCAATTTTTTTTGTAAAGTCTTTGTATATTTTGGAGGAGGAGGATGGCGGGGTCTATATATTCCTAAACTTTCTTCAACTTGACATCTATTTATCAAACAGAAGTAAATATGTAAGTAACAGTTTAAATTATGTAATTTTAGATTTTAAATTTATGAAAAAACCCAATATTCTATTTCACTCATTTGTTCTATTATATACAATTACTTTTACTATTTTGTATTAGAAATGTCTGCATTAGGTTGAAGAATACCATATCACTGAATATATATTGTATAAAATATTTAATTTTATATAAAACAAGTAAAACACCAAAGCCATTTTCGGGACAAGACTATATCTCAAAGACTCAGGGCTTAACTGTGCACCATTTTCTAAAGAAAAGAGTAAAACAAGCACTCTCCAATGAGGAAAAGTTTACACCAGTAGTCAGGTTATGACAGGTTGCATTGTCATGGGCCTGTTCTTGGCTACAGTAAGAGGAATCAGTCCGATCCTCACTGTGGATCTTGTTCTCATTCTCCAATCTTCTTTGGTATCGCTGGTTTTGAGCGCAATTGTTCAAACTTCGTCAGTCACATCCACGAGGCATTTTCAGTGAAATCAACCTATCCAATGTAGAAATTTCCTCCATTGCATGTCGCCCCAGGTTGAATTTTTGTCGATGCCTAATGAAAATTTCCAGTTTTTGAAAAAAATAATTGTGGCTATTGTATTGTCCGAAATTATTTTTTATATACACAAAAAATTGACACACAGAGAATTAAATTACATACGTACAATAGCTGTACAACAGGGATATCGTATAAGTGAAATTAATGCTCTTATTGCTAAATTTTGTAATCAAACAAATAAGCAACCTACAACTAAGAACCAAGGATGAAGAGTAGTTCTCAACTATATACTTTTCCTGCAATCAATGATTAAAAAATTATCTCACAAGAATAATTTAAGAGTTATTTATCATCATAATCCTACGATTTATAAAATTTTACGAAATGATAAGAAGAAAGGAAACCGTAACAATAATACAGGAGTTTATTCTATTCCTTTAAGTGACCGCTGTTTTAATTCAGATCTCGTTTATGTTGGTGTCACTACGAGACTTTTAAAACAGAGGCTTAAAGAACATAAGTATTCTATTACTAAAAACGTAGATAGCACCGTCCTTGCAGCGTTCGCTAAACATCAAGATATTAATGACAATTAATTTTCTTAATACTTTATTTAATTTAATTCTTTACCACGATTAATTTTCTTAATATTTTATTGTAATTTAGTTTGTTTTTTATGTTTAGTTTATTTTTATTTTGTTGTAATTAATTTTCAAGTTTTAAACCGNTTATAGTTAGTTAGTGAGAGTTTTTTTATGGCGCTCAGTTATAAGGGCTGTATACATCTAATGCAGTAATTATAAAATTTACATACAAAAATATAAGGGGTACTTGAGAAACAACTAATGGGCTAATGGGGTACATCAACAAAAAAGGTTGAGAACCACTGATCTAATACACAGAACATGTTATGAGGACAATATTGGCCTCCTCCACACAATAAACAAAGTGAAAATTCCAGAATATAATTACTTATTTTTAAGGGAAAGTATCAAGGAACGTGTACAATTTTTTTCAACTTTTCTAATTAATTTCTAATTAATAAGTGTTTTAAACTAATAAGAAATTACTAGTTACAAGATTTAATAGCAACTAATAATTATGGAACGTTCTCCTGTTAAACGTGGTCGACCTCTGAGCAGCCGAATGAAGGCCGAAAGCAAAAGAATGCAACAAAGTGCAACCAACACGAAACTGATAACTGATTATAACACAATAGTGGAAAGCAACATACAAGAATTTCCGACAAATTCAAATGGAACTAACATGGATACCATTCCACAACATCTACAAAATTTATCAGGTGAGTGCAGAGACTTTTATTCATCTTCGTCGTCAAATTTGAAAGACACTTTAATGTCAGATCTATGGAGCAAAATCTCGGAATTAATTAATACATTGAATGATAAACTATCTCTACAAATGACATCAATAAAAGAAGACTTGAACTTAATACACGAAACCATACGAGAAAACAAAATTCAATTCCAAAGAATGGAAGATCAAATAGATAACTTGAAACTGCATATTGATAATTTAAAACTTCAAAAAGATCTGACGCAATATAAAATGGATACTTTGGTAAACGACTATCACTATAATAAAATAATATTATACAACTATCCCACTTCAAAAAACGTCTCTAAACCAGAATTTCTGAAATTTATTAATACTTCATTGGATCTAAAGAACATATCTCAAGACGAAATTTCAGAAATAACTCAAATCAATAAATCAGCTAATCCAGTAATTAGAGTTTCCTTCAATAATAAACAGATTCGAGACCAAGTTTTTAATACGTTTATATCAAAGAAGCAACAAAAACTATTGGTAAATTGGGGAAATTTGCAAATTGCACCATATCTCACTAATGAATCACAAAAAAGAAGGAAACAATTACTACCAATTTACTACGATTTAAAACATCAAAATCGATATGTTAAACTACGAAATGATATCCTGATAATAGACGAAAACAGAATAACATTTAACCTTGAAACGAGAAGTTTAGTAAATGTGGATACCTTTTTTTCCCTTTAATATATCACCAGAACCAACAAGTTGATATGAACAGCATAGTAAAAAGCACCAGATAAAAGTTAATAAAAATAATAAGGCTATCTTGCTTTTAAATTGGACATATTGCTCAAAATTTAAGTTGGAATTTAAGTTAAACTACTTTTGATTAATTTCTTGGCTAAAATAAGTTTAAATTAATTTCGTTAGAGTAAATATTAACAATAATTAAAATGCAACGATCCCCTACGAAACGTGGAAGACCACCACTTAATCGAACTAGACTAGAGAACAAACAGAATCAATTGTCCACATCGAATTCTAAACTCATCACGGACTATGGATCACACTCGAAAAAAGAATTACAAGATGATGTTATAGAGAAAGAGAATAATAATCTGATCTTACTTCAACAATGTTCTCAAAACTTTACAAGTGAGTCAAGCAATTCTAATTCAACACTACTAAATAACCCGGATACCCAATTAGACACTACAACTGCAATCTTATGGAATAAAATATCTAATTTGATAAATACTTCAAATGACAAACTGCTCAGCCAAATGACCTTAATAAAAGAAGACTTAGAATTAATACATAAAGATCTACGTGAAACTAAGGAACAATAAATAAAACTGGTGGAAAAATTATAGATTTAAAACAAAAGACTGACAATCTACAAATCGAAAATGAACACAAGTAATTTAAAATGACTAATAATTCAATGACTAATAAATCAATTTCGTTTAAATAAATATTTCCTCTACATTAATAATTATATAAAATTCAAGAATAATAAATGCTTTTTTATGTAACTCTGAGGAATTTTCACCTTTTCAATTGCTATTAAAATGTAGAAAACTTAATAGTATACATGATCAATATGAAATTGTTCGTATATGCAATAGCAACTCGCAACTTGATCTTACAATAAATTTAAACAATATTAATAAAAGGATTTAGATAAATTTATAATTATTTAATTAAAATAATGGATATATAAAAACTTAAGCTAATATCTTAAATATGTTTAAAAATAATCCTTCAAAATTGTAACGAAATAAAAATAATTTTAATATATTTATACAAAACTTCTATTATAATATAAATGTTTAACGCAAAATAAATGTATAAATTAGAAAATAATAAATAACTTGTAATGACCAAAAAACTACTGTAAAATATAAATGTAAATCTATCCAACTTATTTGATTGTATTCCCCCTCCATAACAGGGAAATTATTCCCATTTGCAAATAAAGATTATTTGATTTGATTTGATTACTTATTTTTAAAACATTTTTATAGAATCAAAAGTATATTTTTATTTTGGTCTTTATTTTTAATAGAGTTTACATGTAATTTACATTGAGACAGCAGTGTAGTGCTTTTATATGCAAGTTATGCTCTTATAAGTGAAGCAGGATATGTGTTTCAAAACTGAAAAAACAAGTGATTTTCATATATAAGAGCATACTCTTAGTTGTGCAGAAATATGATATGAAGGAAAGTAATTAAATTACAAACAAATATTTATCATGAAATAAGCAAGACAATTTATAACATAACATTCATTATTCAACAAAATTTCTGTAAACATTCAGGGAATGTTTATAGAAATTTTGTTGAATAATGTGCAGAACTAACTTTATTCTGGTAGAATATTATTCAACATGTCTGATGTTCTACCAGCTTCTGAAAACATACTGCCTGAAATCCTACTAGTTACAGTCAGAATCATTGCAATACATGTTCCTGAACCTCTTCATTGCTTGAGAAACATCTGCCAACTAAACATTTTTTTAAAGATCCAAAAAGGTGATAATCACTCAATGCCAGATCCTGGCTATAAGATCTTTTTTGGGGCTTTAAAAGAATACTTCGCCAGAGAAGGTTTTCAAGCAATGAAAAGATTCAGATGACCATGACATCAATCAATAGACTTTTATACAATATGTTTTCAGAAACCAGTACAACATTAGGACAAATGCATGAATGTTTATAGAAATTTTGTTGAATACTGAATGTTATGTGTTAGAAATTTTCTTGCATATCTCTTCATAAAATTTTTTTTCCTAATTACTTGTCCCCTTGTGTATAGAGTGAGCTTAAAAAACATTGTGAATCATCAAAGATAACATGTGAAAACTGTACCATGAAGGTTAAATAAATACAGTAATACAGAAAATATCATCAAACATCTCAACCAGAGACAAGAATCATTGTCATAGTTTTTATATGATGATGAAAAGATAACAACCCTCTTTTTTTATTATATATTTTTTTATTTTCATATCTTATACTTTATATCACAGTTTATTTAAATTAAATGTTAGTAAAATAAATATGTAAAAACACAATAAAGTTTTTGATATAATCATATTTAAAATTAAAAACAAAATTGTTTTTCTCTTACTTTTATCAAAAGAATCTACAGTTATTGATCTCTCTGATTTTTGGCTGCTTCCATTAATACTATTTTTCAATTTTTTTTGTAAAGTCTTTGTATATTTTGGAGGAGGAGGATGGCGGGGTCTATATATTCCTAAACTTTCTTCAACTTGACATCTATTTATCAAACAGAAGTAAATATGTAAGTAACAGTTTAAATTATGTAATTTTAGATTTTAAATTTATGAAAAAACCCAATATTCTATTTCACTCATTTGTTCTATTATATACAATTACTTTTACTATTTTGTATTAGAAATGTCTGCATTAGGTTGAAGAATACCATATCACTGAATATATATTGTATAAAATATTTAATTTTATATAAAACAAGTAAAACACCAAAGCCATTTTCGGGACAAGACTATATCTCAAAGACTCAGGGCTTAACTGTGCACCATTTTCTAAAGAAAAGAGTAAAACAAGCACTCTCCAATGAGGAAAAGTTTACACCAGTAGTCAGGTTATGACAGGTTGCATTGTCATGGGCCTGTTCTTGGCTACAGTAAGAGGAATCAGTCCGATCCTCACTGTGGATCTTGTTCTCATTCTCCAATCTTCTTTGGTATCGCTGGTTTTGAGCGCAATTGTTCAAACTTCGTCAGTCACATCCACGAGGCATTTTCAGTGAAATCAACCTATCCAATGTAGAAATTTCCTCCATTGCATGTCGCCCCAGGTTGAATTTTTGTCGATGCCTAATGAAAATTTCCAGTTTTTGAAAAAAATAATTGTGGCTATTGTATTGTCCGAAATTATTTTTTATATACACAAAAAATTGACACACAGAGAATTAAATTACATACGTACAATAGCTGTACAACAGGGATATCGTATAAGTGAAATTAATGCTCTTATTGCTAAATTTTGTAATCAAACAAATAAGCAACCTACAACTAAGAACCAAGGATGAAGAGTAGTTCTCAACTATATACTTTTCCTGCAATCAATGATTAAAAAATTATCTCACAAGAATAATTTAAGAGTTATTTATCATCATAATCCTACGATTTATAAAATTTTACGAAATGATAAGAAGAAAGGAAACCGTAACAATAGTACAGGAGTTTATTCTATTCCTTTAAGTGACCGCTGTTTTAATTCAGATCTCGTTTATGTTGGTGTCACTACGAGACTTTTAAAACAGAGGCTTAAAGAACATAAGTATTCTATTACTAAAAACGTAGATAGCACCGTCCTTGCAGCGTTCGCTAAACATCAAGATATTAATGACAATTAATTTTCTTAATACTTTATTTAATTTAATTCTTTACCACGATTAATTTTCTTAATATTTTATTGTAATTTAGTTTGTTTTTTATGTTTAGTTTATTTTTATTTTGTTGTAATTAATTTTCAAGTTTTAAACCGTTGTATTGCTTGCATTCTATTTTACATTCGTTTTTGTTTTAAAGTGGCTTAACTGGAGAAGACTATTAAATATAGTCGAAAACATTTTTATTTTATTAAATACTTCATTGCTGGAAATACTAAAGTGTTTGATTATTTTGATTATTTAAACTTTATATTTGGTGACTGGATTGATGTTTATAAAATGATCGGTAAGGCCGTATCTGCATTCCCTTATTTACATCAATGAGTATTAGCAATGACTTTTCAATTTCAACTTTGTTGTCATTGTCTTCACTTTGAATAAGTTCCTAAAGATTTTCTTCTTGCAGTTTTCTTTTGTGTATATATGATAACATCCAAAACCCAGTTTATTAAAATAAACAAAAAATTTGTCAAACTTTTATTAGGCTATTTTAAGTCAAATTAATTGCATTTTTTAATAACAAAATTAATTTATAGCACTATATTGTGTCAGAAGCATAAACAAATAGCAAAGCACGGTTTCATATCATCAAAATAAGAAGTTATAATTGAAACGGCGGAAATCATCGAATTTAGAGAAGATGAAAGTCGAACTACACCGGAACAGTGCATATAAGGAGGAAAAATTACAAGGTGAGATAGAAAAAACTCTAATTGATTTACAATATCTAAGAACACACCTAAAAGAACGAAAACCTCTACTTGTGTATTCCTTTTTATGTGTACGTTATATCCTTTTTAAATGTTTTAGTTGACTGAAGAGGGGCTTAAGAGCTCGAAACGTGTAATTTTTTCCACACGTATCAACTAAATAAAGATGAGAAAATCCGCCAAGTGTCTTAATTTATAGCACTATATTGTGTCAGAAGCATAAACAAATAGCAAAGCACGGTTTCATATCATCAAAATAAAGATGAGAAAATCCGCCAAGTGTCTTAATTTATAGCACTATATTGTGTCAGAAGCATAAATAAAATTAATTACACTTTTTAATGGAGGCATATTAAGAGTTTGGTTACTTTAGCCCATCATTGTCATGTTTATTACAAAGTTGTGAGAATTCGAGCTCTAGTGTGAATTTTGGAGCTTTAGTAATATTTATTTTTATGTTATTTCCCTTTTTCTTCCAGTTTTGTTGAAGCTGGACCTTTTGACCCCGCTATTTACTGCATAACTTTGTTGGGTGACCGCTAAACTTTCAAAGACGTTTAGGACGTCCAAGGAAAGTCTCCCCTCACCCCAGGAGATTATTCAGTTCTACCATCGTTACAATATACAAATCAGTAGCCAATTAACAAGAATCTCCACCTGTTACATGATAGAGAGTAATCAAAAGTGACTCACCATCATCACCCAGTTGGCCCAGCAGATGTTCTGACCTAGCCACTTGTGGCAATTAATTCTGTAAATCTGACAGCTGTTGTGACACTTTCCCATCATAAATAATGGGTAGAAAATATAATAAATCAAAAGAACCGTTTGATGGTTGACAAATAGCACAAACGACTCTTGACGCAAGTCAAGAGTTACATGTGATTGCATCAGATTTTCCCCCAATGATTCCCCCTCTGGGACATGTATAAAAAGGGGTTGCACTTGCACCTCTGGGCAGACAGCCAGGCACGGACATAGCCAAGGTGAGGACAGCCGAAACGGACACAGTCAAGCGGACAGCAGGGAACGGCAGACCCATACCGCCATTCCATCTGTCGCAACTCCTGCCTTCCCGCCATATTCTCTGACCTGAAGTGAAGAGAGACTACGATTAGGAACTACCGATCTGGGGATGTTTCACTGACCTCCAATATGACGAGATTGGGAATCCATGCATTAATCAACTAACCACATTTCGATACTCTTTCTTTCATTCCTCGTCACTCTCTCAATCATAGCTTAAGATTTGACAATATTATGCCTTTAGAGTTAGATCTTAGTTAGTTAGAGTCTTATTTGATGAATTATTCCCTTATTTTATTCGTATTCATGTGTATAGCCTTAGACAATTAAATATGTTTATTCTATATTTAATTATGTGTCATCCTTGAGTGCAATCGGTACCTTGTCATGATCGCACTATCCTCCCCACTCACATTTTTGCCTTCCTATACAGTCATCTCTGATCGAGCCACTGCTAAGTGGGAAGAAACTTGACACTCTGCCCCCTCGGTTCTCACAAAATGTTAAATGAATTATAAAAAGGAAAAATAACAAAACAGAATAAAAATGACAAAAATCTACATTGAATATTCAATCTTCATATGACATTCATTCATCACAAAAATATTATTCACATAATAAAAATAAATGAACAATCAAGTTTTGAGACAAATGGACCAAAAATTCACACTTTGTGCCCAATAAACCACAAGCACATTTTGTGCTTGCTAAGAATGCAATATTTGAATGGTATGGAATGGGGCAATTTCATTAGTCAGACAGACAAGAATTGATATTTTTCAACAGAAAATAGTTTATGATTCTCAAACACAAAATTGTGCTACTATTTAAACATTTGGCATTTTTTCATCTTTATTCAGTTGATACAAGTATTACTACAGGAAATTTAAAGAAAGTTTTGAAATCTTAAAAGCCAACAATTGTATTAATAAAAACTTGAGTTTAAAAATAAATGAAAACTGGTTAAATGTCTTATAAAATAATTTTAATATTAATTTAAAAATTTTATCTGTTTTGGCTATGATCGTAATTTCGAAAATAGTTATTGTAAAATAAATTACCGTATTTCGTTAAAATATGCAAATTTGTATTAGACCGCATTGTGACAGAAAAAACTGTAAAGAGGAAGCAGATTTTATCTCTGTGATGTATTGATGTGTAATTTGTAAAGTAGAACTTAACTAAGTCTACAAGTTGGTAGGTATTTCTTTTATTTGTTAATACAAAAAAACATAAATTATATCACGCCTATGTACAGGCAAGATCCAATGTTGGAATTGTTTATCATAATTTAAAACTTACTCCTCAGGTAATGCCCTTTTTAATATTCTTATACTGTTTATGTACTTACATATCAATACTTATTTATAAACTAAATGTATGTAAATTTCGTATTGGTGAAGCCTACTTTTGATTTCATTGTTGAGAAAGTGTATTCTGAGTCTCACTAGTCAATGTAGTACAGTGGTACCTCGGTATACGTCTGCTTTAGAATACATCCAATTCGGAATACGTCCTGTTTGGATGAAACAAATTTTGCTTGGTATACGACTTTTGTTCAGTATATGACTTAATTCAATTATACGCACCATCTATGAACAAATAGCACTATCGGTGTACTAGACCAGACTAGACGTTCGCGGTGCCACAGTTTATAACTTTGTTAAATTTCTTCTGATTTTAATTTGTAAGTAAAATTTTATTATTTTTATTAATCATGCATTGCAAAAAGGCAAATGAAAAGCAACAGAAAACTAAAAAAAATGACTAGAATCACAATGGAACTGAAAAAAGATTGTTGAGAAATATGAAGGTGGCATGCGTGTTTGAGATTTAACTGTTGCATACATATTCCGAGAATGACGATATTGACAATCGTGAAAAATAAAGACATTATTAAATCTGCTAACATTGCAAAAGGGATTTAATCAATTTCTAAACAGAGATCGAAGGCATTAGATCATGTTGAGAAATTGCTTTTGCTTTGGATAACTGAAAAACAGTGTGCTGGTGCTGGTGACAGCGTATCAGAAGCAATTATTTGCGAGAAAGCTTAAAAGATATATGCTGATCTCATAAAAAATCGAGCAGGAACTAGCCAGGAAAGCGAGGTTTTTAAAGTCAGCCATTTTTTTCACATGAGAATGGATTAATCATTTTTACATTTCTTCTTATGGGAAAGGTTGGTTTGGTATGCGTCCTATTCGGTATAAGTCCAAACATCAGAAATGGACTAAGATTGTATACTAAGATTCCACTGTATAATTGTAAAACTTAAGGTGGGTTGTATGTTTGTAAATTTCTTATAAATATAAGGAATATAGTGTTGTATTATAAATTTGTAAAAAAGTGTGTAAAATTATCTAGGCAGATGTACGAAACTGCATTACTCTTATACATGTGTACACCTTTCAAGTTTGTAAAGAATGTAATGGTACATCTTGTGAATGAATTTATACATTTAAGTTACCAACATTACAGAAAGGCTATATTTTTGTAAAATAGCCTTTCTGTATGATGTTGTCTTGTTAAAAAATTCATGTATACTTTTTTAATGTTTAGTTGGCTGATGAGGGGCAGTGCCTGAAATGTGTAGTAATACTCGTATCAACTGAATAAAAATGAAAAAAACACCAAGTATTTAAATAGTAGCATGATTTTGTGTTTGAGAATCATAGAAAATTATAAAACATGGTTTCAGAAAATTGAGAAAATAGTTGCTGACTTCTACTTGCATGAGAAAATAATTCAAGACATCAAATTTTTTTTATAATGTTAACTCTAACATACCAATCACAGCTAAATATGAAATAGTAATTGGCAAATCAATCAAATTTTGCAAAAAAATGGATCAAATATTTAAACTTAGCACCATCAAAAACCATTAAAAGCATATTTTGTGCTCACTGCTAACTTTATATTAAGTAATTTTCTTATTTGAATTTTCTCCTTTCCTATCTGACCATCTCATTGGTCAGATAGAAAGGGAGGCCTGTTATAGGTGGGGATTTGAAGTTAATTTGGTCAAAAGTAGTCATTGGCCTCCTCCTGAATGAGAGAATGGTTCCTGAAAAGTTTCATTGCATTTGCTTAAACTATGTCAAATTGCATAAAGAACAAACTAACAAACTTTCTTTTTTATATATAAGTTAATTTTAATTTAATTTAGAATTCTCTGGAAGAAAAGAATCTGCCCAAGGCTGGACTCAGACCTCCAACTCCCACTTACCATGCTGTTGTGTTGCCAGTTACTCTACCAGGGGCTCCATCCAATCTTTGCTTCCAGAGCCATTAATTAATTTCAGATATAGCCATACTGGTCACTTATGGTGCAAATGAATATGACTTAGTGCCCAGAGCCCTTCATGGCAATCAGCTGACTTATCCTTTAAATTTATCACAAGATGGTAGCCTAACTGCCTACCTCTAGCCAAATAACTTTGCTTCAGATTATTAATTAGACTTAAAATAGCCAAATGAAAGTTTCCTCTAACTTCTGTCTCCTCAGGCCAATTTGTCAATTATGCACAGTTTCAGATGTTTGAATTCAGTTTCATTAGAAATACACCTCTACACTTAAGTCAGTTCTGTATATACAACTTTTACAAGAAATGTATGCAAAGTATCAAGTATCACCTTGAGAATTTCTAGTCCAGGGATGGGCAATCTTTATCTATGTAAGAGCCGCATTTCAAAACTTTTACACTGTCACAGGTTGCATACAAGAGAAAAAAGGGGAAAGTCAGTAAATCACAATTATTTATTCATATATAGCATAGGTATACTTAATTTAGCTTCTGGAACTGATGTAAATGTAATATATTGAAAATATTTGGTTAAATATTAGTCACTGCTAGTTTTAAATTAGTTTTGGTGTGTCTGTTAGCTGGATTCTTGTTTTAATTTCTACTAAATTCATTGTGGAAAAACTATTCACATACATAAGTTGTAAAAAAAACATTTGAATTTTTGCTGCATACTTCCTTATTAATTTAAGCTGGGAAATTGATATACAATCGACCCCCCTATAACACGGTAGATACGTTCCACTTTATACAAATTTCATGTTGTAGGAATCCTTAAATATATGAGCCAATCACAGCCCGGCACATGTGCAGTTTACGGACTACGGCTGTTTGAAAGGTTTTCTTCCATAAAATTAATCAATTCTAGAGTAATTTGACTCAACATTTCCAGAACACGTATAACTTTTTGGGAATAATCCGTATAAACTATGCTATAAATAAAAAATTGTAGGATTACTTACCGAGTGTGCACCGTTCGACGACGCCATTGCTTAAGCTTGTTTTCATCGCGGAGCAGTGCACCAAATGACAGGCGCGTTTTCTGATAAGTTATTTTTCTGCGAAAAATTCGCTGAACTGAAATAATTTTTATGGCCGTTGAATAAGAAATGTATAAAATTACAGTACTGTATTAGACTTACAGTACCTAATTTATATACTGTACAGACGATAGTAAGCTCAACTTACCCGCCTAAACTCTCCGTAGAGTGTAAGTAGTTCGGCTGCTCATCCACTATTGGTCCAGATTCGACCAATCCTGTCACGACACAAGTCGGCATGACGTTTTACTGCATTTTACGAGTCTCTTTTAGCGTCTTTATACGAATACGGTCACAATTTTTTCACCGCGATATACAAATCTGCATTATATGAACCCGCGTTATAGGGGGGTTGACTGTATTTATTCATATTTTATTACAGTGGGCTGCATGTGGCCCAACGGCTGTGGGTTGCCCATCCCTGTTCTAGATCATGGATTGGCTGTCTCTGTACCTTTCATTTGATCTCAGACGTCAAACACACTTGTGTTTTTTCCAGAGGAGTATAATCTCTCTCTATCCTCAGCAGGCTTGCTGGATATTTGAGATCCTAATGCTATCAGCTCTGAGCTTTATCCTCTACTGCTGTTCTTTCCAACCCAATCTCTAATTTCAATTTTTTTGGGAGGAAACTTCTCACAAAATTAGTCAAAGCTTTTGGTTACTGGGAGAAGCTTCCTTTTGCATCCAACTGACCTAAATGAGAGTGATCATCCTCTCACTTGTTTGTTTGATATTTTTCTATAGCTGAAAGTAGCTTATGACCAGACCATATTTAAGACAAATTTAACAAAACCACGTCTCCCATTTTTCTCTCCACTTCCAAAATTATACTTTATAAGCCTGAAAAAATCCAGCAGCTCATTTGATTATTCTAGCTGTCATTTGATTGTTGAAGCATTTCTTCAATTTCCTGGGTCACATATTGGAGAATCTAGGCATTTAGAATGTCAAATCCTTCTAAACACTCAGTGATTGTCACAATGCAATGCAATTTAGCAGCAGCNACGGTTTGGCCACCCCTGGTTTAACCCTTTCTTTAACCTATTCTCTTTATCTTAGTTTTCTTTAGAATAGAAAGAAAATTAACAAGGAAGAACACAACAAATATATTTACCTGAAACAAGGTTTACTTCCTTGTACATCAATTAATGTAAACTGCCCTCTTTTACCACCAAGTTTTGATCCACGTTGATAGCGATATTCACAACATGTGCTCAATCGAAAATGTCTTATTCCATCAATAAATATTGTTATACTAAAAGGATATCCTCGATGACGACGAGAAACAAATGTAAATATATCTAAAATTATTTATAATCATATTATTATTTATATATATATATTTAACAATTTAAACTTTTAACTTACTTAAATATTTCAACAATAAAAAAGCTTTTGTTTTCATTCTGATTCTAATTCTAATATAACTTTTGATTCCTATTATAGCAAATGAGTAATAATTTATCTAATACTTTAATTTAATTTAATTCATCACACTGAATAATTCATTTTCCTAGTCAGACATTTCTCTCACTTTAACATAATAAATGTCTTCATAATTCTACTTTATTTAATTGTAATTTTGTAACTTTGTAAATAATTTTATAAAATATTTAACCAAGTTGAATCAAATTAAGACAACATCCAGTGACCTTATCCAGTGACTTTCCTAGTAACTGCCAATCATGGGAATTCCTTTGGTAACAAAATTATTCATATTTACCGTATTTCAGTTATTTATATAAAATACAAGAGTAAGTCAATAACTATCCAGAATGCATTTATAAAATTTATTTAAACACGAATAGAAATTTATGTTATTTTTCAACATAGTCACCTTGCTTTTTAACGTATCCAGATGATTTTGTTCATGCAATTCTGAAAATTGTTTAGGGACCCATCTGCACAGACTTTATAAAAGCCAAGTATGTTGTGGTCTATTTCATTACACAGAACTAAGACTTATGTTCTTGTGATTTGCCACTTCATCTATAGTGATGTGTCTGTTCTGAAAAACATATAATGGACATGTTTGATGATGTCAGCCCAGCCCTTCCTGGTGGATGTGGATGAGTGTTCAGTTCAGTTCCTTCTTCATATTTGACACTTGTGCAACCATTTCTGAGCTTGTTGATTCATTTACAAGTACTGCTTTGCAACAGTACACTATCCTCATATTGTATTGCAAGTATTCAATGGATTTTGGCTCCTGATACACTTCAACAAAAATCAGATCACAGTTTGCTGCTCTTCCTTTGTACAAACTGATAGTATAGTGGTAATGTTAATGTCGTTGAAACTAACAATAGAAGTAAGCTTTCAAATTGAAGTTTGAAACACAAAGCAAAGAATCATGCCTAGTGATGCACACAGAGCTTGCAATATAGTCTCAATAAAACATGATAATCATATTGTGATAATTATTGACTCACCCTCATATTTACTGATTAAATTTTAATACAGTTTCATCTCGCTCATTATCTAGCATTTATTTTAAGGCTGAATATAAAATAAAAACTAAAAACAAATATTATAAAATATATTTTTTAGTGTTATTTATTAAAATCAAATTAAAATTGATCACCTTCGGCTTGTAATTGTTTTTTAAATACACAAATTGAATTTCCTCCACAATGCTGTTGACTTATATGCACTTCTTGATATATTTGCGGAATTATCCAAGCATACATTGACATAGCACCATGAAAACAAAGTGTTATTCTACACTGTGACTCAGAAACCTGTAAAACTGGCTAAACAAAAAGTATTTATTTAAAATGTGATTTTTATTTTAAGCTAATACAAACATATAGAATGTCTTTAACTATAAAAATAATATAAGTTAAATAAAAATAATAATCTTTATTGATATTTCATACAAATATAAACACAAGTATGATCACAATAGAAAAAAATAAATTAACTTTAATTTTAAAAATTTTAACTATACCAATATATCTAAAATTTTAAAATGACTTGTAACGAAAATGTGAAGTTACCCTATCAAAATGCAGAGTAATTTATACAGGTCAGGAGAAAAAATGTAAATTTTTTATAATTTGTACATATATCTATATATAAAAATGCTCAATAAAAAGCAAATTTTTTCCCTGTGTGTGACAAAAGAAAAGTTATATATCAACATACCAAAGCCTGATGTATTGATACATCGCATAATAATAATAACCCAATGAAATAGCATAATAATAGCCCAATCATTTTGTAGAAAAATTATATTTCAGGTAACAAGGTAAACTGCAAATTCATATTTGTCACTCAAATTGTTATTTATTTATTTGAACTCAGACTCTCCTGATTGTAACTAAAATGTAGAAATACAGGGTGTTCATAAAGTCTATGTTGAGTTTCAGAAATCTGTTTTTAAAACAATGTGAAACACAATTCCTCCATCAAAAGGTAGACAAACAGAAACAGTTTTAGTCAGCATATCAGTACATCTCCACAGGTACACTTTACATCATCATATCTAAGCAATATTCAATTTCCCACCATGTGTTCATTAGCATGTTTGGTGTCCTGCTGGAAAATGGCATCAGGTTGAATTTTCCAGCAGACAGTGCACTGCCACATTGGAGAGTAATCTTATGTACTTTCCTGGACACCACTTTTTCCAATCGCTGGATAGGTCAAGGGACCTATTCTGAGCTCTTCTGATAATTCAATGAGAGTGACACATGGGACATTCAATAGGTCTCCTTAGCAAAATGCAGTTAACAAACCTTAAACAAATCGCTATTCTCTGCTCCACGTTAAATGGGTTTTGCTATGGGTAATCAGTTGAGATGCATCTGGGTTCCATGCTATCAATAGCTGTCACGCTTTAACCAATCACAATTTAGTTAACATTATCTTTCTGTCACGTGACTGCAACCTGCTGCTTTTCAAGCAAAGCATGTGTTTTTAGTATTCTGTAGCCAAATTTTTTTGTGTTAAAATGTCATCAAAGAAGGGACAATGCAGCCAGTGAAACTACAACTTGTCAGTTCGAGATATTAGTTAAAACACTTTGGCTCTAGCCAGGGTCGGATTTAGGCATTTCAAGGCCCTTGAAACTCTGTGTAAGACCCCTTACCAACACTACAATTTTAGAAATCAATCNGCAAGATCACTGGGCCTAAAGTATGGTAGGTAGGTCAACTTACACCTACATGCCTGAAGTCGGCCAAACTCCAGTAAGTTGTGATTGGCATATAACACAAATACTGACCAGACGCAGGAGGTTTCCCACTTCAAGTCCAAGTTTGGACAAGGAGATGGTTTCTGCTCCTGTGGGTGTCCTCGCAGTGACACGAGGCACTATATACTTGAATGCCCTCTTACCAAGGACTTCCACTGAGGGGTTGACCAGGTCAACTGTAGTAAGCCTTCTGAACAAGTACTTCAAACACTTGCAGCTAGTAAAGTTAACCTATTGAAACTAAAGGAATTGATGAGGAAAGTAATAGATCTCTGACCTGTAAGCTCAGTGGATGCACTGGGCTGGGCTCATAATAAATGGTCAGGGTGGGACCCTGCTGACCATTTATTATGAGCTGGCCTCTCTATGGTAGATAACTCAAAGTGCAGTACAGGCTTCACACAACACTGTATGTGAATGCACGAGGGTTGGATCTGGGAGCAAGGAAGGTTTGTCCCCATTGGGTTGTATTGCCAGAGCCCAGAGCACTTATCCCAGGTTCAGCTTTATATGTGCAGGCACCTCGGTGGTTACAAGGTATCAGACCAAACCTATGATTAAAAAACAGTCTCTTTGTACTCTGTAGTGCCATTTGGCAGAGCAGAGGCAATTTATAGTTGTAATATGTAATATGAGGTAGATAGATTAAACCTTGGCGAAGGCTGAAAACATTCTGAATTTGTTGTTAAAAATTCTCTTACTGGTTATTAAAGGTTTTATTTTTAATTGATCACTCCAGTAATTTGTGGAGGAGATAGTTATAATGAATCAACATAAACATTAACAGGTTGGATTTATACATTTCAAAGTACTAGCTGAACTGTGTGAGGCCCTTACTAACACTTTACGATTTTATAAGCAATCATAAAAAGAAAATTAACAAGCACACTGATCTTAATTAATAATAATGTTTTATTGTTCAAAAGTAACATATACAACATATTATAAAATTAGATACAGTTTAATAAAGAAAATACTAAAAATTTTGTTTTCATAATTTTTGATCACAAAAAAGCTACTAAAGCTAAGAAAAGCTACCTGTAAAACTACGATGAATTTTATATTAAAAGGGATATGTAGAAATGTAATATAAACAATATTGGTTATTAATATAATTAAATACTACACAAAATAGAAAGCAAAGTATATTTTATTGGTTTGTAAAAATAAATTACAAAATTTGACTTCAAAAATTTCTACAAAAAAGAAAATTGAACTCCCTTCAAACTCAAGTTATAGCTTACATAGCTTACGTGTGAATCCAGTTCTCTAGCTTTTCTCGTAATTCATTCCATAAATGTAATAGTAATGGAAGATGACAAAGTTTTTTAAAACATGTATCATTCAGCCAAAAAACATTATCTTGAAGATGAAAAACTGAGATTCATGACATCCAATGCTAATTTTATCTATCTCCAATTTCTCATGAAGTAATATCATCCTTATATCTAAAGTTGCCATGTTCTTTTTACTTTCGTTACATTCTTAACAGCATTTTGAGAATGATCAAGATGCTGTTACTGCAAATGGCTATCGGAACCAAAAACGAAACATATGGCTCATAATAGCATTTTCACAGTTGATTAAATGCCAATCATGTGGTTCCGGTAGAAACTAGTTTTTATCATATTCATTAGCTTAATGATACAACACAGAATAGGTCCAGGACAATCCAAAAAAAGAGGTGACTCAAGGTCCAAACAAAGAAAGTTTATAGGTGTCCAGAGGAGAACAATTGAAGAGAACAGAGAAGTAGGTCTCAATACTCAACTGAAGAGGTATGATATGAGTTCTAATGCATTTTGTTAAAGGTACCTTAAAAGGAATAAAAAAAAAAGTTATAACATATATAACATACAGAAGTCATTGTGATAAGTTTGGGAAAAAAACAGCACTATTGGGTTGCTGAAATAATAATTTGATACAAATCCAAAGAAACTAAATGAAGAATATCAGATATTTATGCTTTGAGGCACCTGAATTTCTCTCTCTCAACCCATAATTTAATCACAACTGAATAAATTTCATATGTCTAGAGATTCAAAATGCAAACCAGAATAAATTGTTAAATTAATTTTGTTCTTAAAGAAGAATTGGCTCCCTGTCTTCTTCCTTTAATGGTCAGACTCTTTCTCACAATAAAAAAAAATATGATTGCATGGATTGAGTTTTGCAGTTCTTATGAACAATAAAAACCAGCTGGTATCATTCCATAGCAATCAATTGTAATTGTATGCCATATTGTCTGTTTTCGTCTTTTGTTCTTACAATTTTCCCTCTTCTTTGTTCTTTCCACCTTCTAGAACGTTCTAATCTTAATTATTCTTTCTTGGAGGTGAGGGCCACTTTCTAGAATTCACCAACATAATGTATACGAGATTACTTGAGAGCATATGAGAAGGAAGGTACTTTTGAATTGGTGCTCAAAGAAAGAGGATGACAAAAGGAGAGAGACATTACAGTGTCCAGTGCCTGAGTAGACAGGTGAAGTCAGAATTTTAAGCAGAACCTTGAAATTCCCAGACCAAAGAGTTGGCATTTCAGCTTAACGAGCAACTGGCTATTGGGATCAAATATACAAACATCCTCAAGAACCAAGAAAAAGGAAGACAGAAGTAAAAATTTTGTGTTTAAGATGCTTCTACATGGATCCTTACAGTAACCAAACAATGTTTGCACTACCCAAGTATTCTTTTCTATCCTATCTACCATCTTCACTATTTCTTGCCCCCTACCTTCTACTTCCTTTCTAAGTATAAATTAGAATTGAGAATTAGTGTTAAGGAAAACATTTTGTAATATTATTTTCAGTTCCTTTTTGTACAAATTATGATAATTTGTGTAATTGCACAATGACTGGATTTTGGATGAATGTTAATGAAAACCCTCAGAGTTGGAATCCCTTTGTACCTGTATTATTTTTATCATATATAATAAATTCAGTTTTCCATCTTCTACTTCACATGTATCCTTTTGTTGGATGGTTACCCTTGTCCAGTCTATGAAACCCTTTCTTGATTATCACACAAGATATCTTAACCCAGTATAGGATTCAGAAAAAATTTTAATCTTTCTACCTACTGTATGTATAATACATATTATTTTTTAAATGTAACAAATTGTTCAAATGTAAATTACTATAAATAAATTCTTTGATATTTGGTTTTCTTTTTCAATGAAATCATGTTATCTTATAAATAAAATTGTACACTTGAAAAGGGACATATCAAACAAATTAACAGAAAAAATTGGAAATTATAAAAAAATATTTTGTAATGTAAGTATCAAAATTCAGCTCTCCAGTTCACAAAATATCACAGCATCTGAGTAACTGACCTAATTAAACATCTACTAATTCTTAAGTATTATTCTTTTGTCTTACCATTAATTATTATTTATTAAATTTTAATTATTTACTTATTTATTCAATTTATAATAATTCTTCATAATATTTATGAAGAATTCTTTTTATTTAATAATATTTATATTAACTTTGATACAGATATGGAAAGCATTGTAAAGCAATATAAGAGTTCTGCCTCAGAGTATAGGCAGAACTCAGTTTCTTTACATATTTCTAAATTTTAATAAATAATTTAATTGCTTACAGTGTTTCATCAAATATATCAAAAAAATTATTTAAAAATCAATAGAGGAATAACACATTACCTATTAATAAATTTCAGTATATAAAATTATTATTTATTGTAACATATTGTAACAAAAGTTTTTATTAAGTGAAATAAACAAGAATTAAATCAAAATTAATGTATTAATCAATTCAATGTATTATAATGTATTGATATTAAAATATTAATAATAACAATAATTTAATATACTGAATTTTATATTATATAAAATACAGTACCCCTCATTATCTCATGCATCTAGGGAGATAAACAAATTGAATGATATATCAGATGGCACGATATAACTGATGTATCTGTCCATTATTGGCAAAAGTGCCAATTTGATAGACCAAAAATTGCAATATATCCAAATGAGTAATACAACGAGGGACTATTATATTTCAGAGTTAAATTTATATATAGTGAATGTACATAAATGTAAATATTTAAATATATATAAAAATACTCTTTTTGAACTGCACTTTCAAAATAACTACACTTTACCAACCTTTAATATGCAGTCTATTTTATTAATGTAATCTAATGTTTTTGGTCAATTAATTGACTTTCTTCAGGATCAAACAATTTTTCGATTTATGACACACGAAACCAATTACAGAACATTTTTAACTTTAAAAATTTTCTCAGCACTTATTGCACAAGTCCAAAAATAGATAAATAGAATCTACAGACTGAAAATGTACAAATATATGCATATACTATACACGTAAAAATAAAAGTTAAAATAAAAATTAATAATAATACAGAAATAGATAAATGAACAAGTGATGATATAACAGGCACTGACCAATGCCTATCTTTTATCTGTCCGTGCTTATTTCTTTTGCTGATATGTTCATAATGCACTCGCTGTCCATGCTGCNAAAGGTGCGTTTTCGCTTCTTAATAATACAGAAATAGATAAATGAACAAGTGATGATATAACAGGCACTGACCAATGCCTATCTTTTATCTGTCCGTGCTTATTTCTTTTGCTGATATGTTCATAATGCACTCGCTGTCCATGCTGCAGAGACTTTATATGATTCTCTGAAGTTTATAGCCTGTCCTGCTAGACTGTTCTTGTGAATATGCCAGGCTTCTGCATATTTAATATGTCTCCTGTCCTGAACCTTATGTATTATTTCTGCTCTTTCCCATTTCACTGATACCTCTATTAGGTCTGTTATAACATATGTCACTAAAGCAGTGACTGGTTGCTCATTCTGTACATTCCTTTTGTGCTCTTTTATTCTTTCTTTTAATGACCTCCTTGTAGCTCCAATGTAGTACAGTTCTTTTTGTCTCCTCTCGTCTTGTAAGCGTATTCTGTAAATTCCAGGAATAAGGCTCTGGTTTATAAGTTCTTTGTCCATACATAGCATCTGGTATACTGTTGGATTTCTTTTAAAGATTAACTTTTTGTTAGTACTGCTCCTATTTGTTTGTAAATGTTGGTTAAAGGTGCCATGTATTCCATTACTGTGTATTCTTCTACTCTTCCCCTTTCATTACCTTCATTATTGTCTTTTATTAATGTTAAATTATGTTAATAAAATAGACTGCATATTAAAGGTTGGTAAAGTGTATATATAAAAATATATAATTAATAAATTTAAATGTCCAATAAAGAGAAGTTATTGCTAAATATTAGTTTAAATAATGCATCTAAAACTTATTTCCATCTAAAATTATGTATCTAAAATTTCAATTCTAACCTTTTTTATTTTAAAATATTCTATATTATTATTATTCTCTGCTTCATACAAATTCACAGCAGTGGGCTCTTCGATGGTTTCTGAAAATTTTTGTTGATTACTGTTTTTTTTACTTTTACATCCTGATTTATTTTTCTTAGTGCTTTTACATTTAGCAGAGGTATTTCGTTGAATACTTGACATGGATTTTGCTTTCGATAATACTGGTAATAAATATGGTGATATAGGTGATTTCAGTAAAACCTTAAAAGCATCTTTATAAATCTGATTAAGGGAATCTGAATTCTGAAATAAGGAAGTTATTTTAGATAATAAATTTGGATTAATTAATTAAATATAAAATATTCTTACTTTTAATTTTGCACCAGCAGATTTAGATCGCTGATTATCAAAATTTTCATTTTTTCTTTCTTTATGCAGTTTTGCTGATGATCCTTTTTTCATAAAATGTTTATTATTCAACAAATATTCTTCCTTCTTAAAAGTTTTAATGAAATGTTATTAAAATTATAAAAGTTGCTATCAAAAAGAAATATTATTTAATTTACATTAATTTACTTACATTAATTTTGTCATCAATCTTATTGTTTTCTAGTATATAATTAGGCAAATTGTAATTGAGTGAAAAACTGCTTTTATTCCAATTATAACCTTTATTTGTTGATAACTGTGGCAAATTTAATGAGTCTGCTGAATAAGAAAGATTGTAAGCAGACTGATATGGTAGTGAAGCCTGTTTCTTCTTGGATTTACCTCTAGCACTCTACAACAAGGCAATATAATTTTGTTGCATTTGTATTATAATTTTCAATGAAAATATGATTAAAAATTCACAAATAAGAAATATGTATTGTTAACTTAATAATAATCTCTAAAAATAATTAAGTTTTAAGAAATAAAATTGTTATAAAATACATTTCTATCATTTTACCATATTTAGTTTTACTTTAAAATTTACTATTAATGACTTCAATTTGTAAATTAAAAGTATTAGAATAGCATTAAAATAATAAAAAGATATTTAATATTACATAAATAAGTATTGCAATTGTTATTTATTTGGAAAATTTTTCAATCTCTAAATAAATAATAATGCCAATTGCAACATTATACAAAATTCTCCTATCTAGATGGGTTACAAGTTAAAACGTAACTAGATCATGATTTTTTATGAATAGTTTGGTTTAAAACAATATCTATTTCTATTCTTTCTGGCCAAATCTATTACAAGTCAAGACAACACAGAAGAAAACTTAAGACTTACTATATAACCTATTGTATGCTGATTTTTTATGTAAATAATCCAATCAATCCAAAAATTTTTTAAACATATATAAACTAATTAAATTAACAATGTTGCGTAATATTCAAAGTACAGTAGAGCATCGATTAAATTATCCGTCACATCAGTTAACTGACCGTTCTAGTTGGCAAATTTCAAATGTCCGCTAGTGATGTGGCATTACAATATTTGGCTATGTCTTGGCTACTTTAATATTATTTTTGTTAAATTTTTGCGTGTTTTAGCTGGCATCAACAGCTCGACCATTGAAGGGAGGCCAATATTTAAACGAGACTTAATTTTCTAATTATAAGGGGTTGTTTGTTTCATGAGCAATAAAATAATTTAAAAATAATTTTTAATGACACAATAGTGACGATTATTATTTTTAAAAAATTTGTTAGGGTAAACATTGATGAAAATTCAACGTAAAGTTGGTTAATAGTGATATACTAATAAACTAATTACATAGGATATACTAATATCCTATACTAATAATGTATTTTTTTCCTTCTTTTTGGTTATCCGATTTTTTCAGTTATCTGACCAACCTGAGTCCCCATTGAGTCGGATAATCGATGCTCTACTGTAATTACGTAACATTATGATATATTAATAATAATGCAATGCATAGTAAATATTTCAACTGCTTTATTCACATTTAATATTTTATTAGTAGAGCTAAAAAAATTTGAAAAGATTCTAACTTTTTTGAAAAAGACAATCAAATGTCTTTGAATGTGACAAATAGAAAAACTTCCAACAAGAAAATCAATGAAACATTCCACATTATATATTTATAATATTGTAATGACTTTTATCTTATTGTTAAAATAAATATTATAATTAATATGCCTACATAACTATAATCTTTTTTATATTGTTTTTAATCATTATAAATTCATCAAGTCTTTGACTTTCTTCTAATTTAGTTATTTAATAATTTTAATTTTAAATAATAATTTAGTAATTTTGGTTTCTAATATATAAATAAAAATTGAGTTTAAAAAAGCAATGTATTTGAATAGTAAAGTTTAAAAATATTGTTAATATATAAATCAAAACTAACAGGAAATTTTATCAAAAAATAAACTAATAACTACAAAACTCTGTTCTTGTATTGCCAAATATTTAGAGAAAAAATTATAGAACATAACTGTTCTATAATTTTTTCTCTAAATATTTGGCAATAGATAACTTCTATATCCCTTACTATACAGGATATTAACATAAAAGAAACATACAATATGTTGTTGATTGTATTCAGGATTGCCTATATTTAACAATATAGACAATTATAATGGCAACTAATATAAATACATATAGGCAACTCAAGTGCCAGACATTTGGCTTTCAAAAAACTCAGTCTTTTGTACATAATACTGTGAGAACTGAGGGGGTATGAGGGTATGACTACGTCGTACCTCCATGGATCGGCTTTCAAGTCTGAGAGACTTGACCACTAGTCAGAGATGGCTTAAATTTTCTTTAGTTTATCCTGTGGGAACGGGATTATAATTTTTCGGGTCGAGTGGAGGAGAGAGGAGTGCCGTTGGTAAGGTGACAGGCGATATATGAGTAAAAGAGGACACCAATTTAACAAAGAAACAACAATTTATTAGTTATCTATATAGATAGTACAATAACTATTGATCAAGGGAAAATTCTGAGTCCCTAAAATGCAAAGGGGCAGAGAGAGAGAGAGAGAGAGTTCACAAAAGTTGGTTCCATACCTCTTTATGTATTTGGACCTCCAATAGAGGGGAAAAAGTCCACCGGGACATCGAGATTCGAAACAGGGCACCAAGTTAAAGATAAATCCTAGAGTATGTATTACTACTGCCGTTGATGAGCGACTCCCCGGAGGGGGAGAGAGAAGGCTTTTATCATTTCGCAGTGGGAAAACTGTCATGTGACTAATTAGTTGCAAGGTAAAAGGTGTGCGGGGAGGTGAAAATTGTCCCCAGAACCCAAATAAAATGACGAAATTGTATGTTAACTATCAACTTTTAAGTTTGTAGTGTGAGAATATTGTCGAGATGAGCGAATGTTTACTTTGGAAAAAAGGAGAGGTTAAAATTTCTCCCTCTTTCAAGTTGTATTTTCATTCTAGTTTCTTAGGGGAATTTAATTGGTTTTTAGGTAAAACGGGACTTGATTGGGAAAAAAATCGGTAGAAAATCCGGATCTCACATACTATTACATCCTGAAATCAAATATGCCATATTTTTATATGTCAAATTCAGACTTTTATACATATTTAGCTGACAAACAAATCATTTTGAGCTATTGTGCAATAGTGCCTTTTGGTTTTGGCAATAATGAAATCATTTGTGAAAATTAATTTTTATTGTCTGTTTCTGTTTAATCTGTGTTCATAAATCTGTTTAATCATAAAGCATTTAAAATAATGTTTTATCTATTGTAACATTCATTGTAAAAAGTAAAAAAAATAAATCTTTCCTAACTTAATAAGAGACTATAATTTTTATTTTTAGCCCTCAGGGAACAGAACTACTCTAAAACAGGCACTTTCATTATTTGTACACAATTTTAGGTATGCATTATGACTGAAAGTTAGGGACTTCTTTTGTTAATATTTCAATCACAATATCACTATTTTCAAATATAGACATCTTAATCACATTCCAACCACTTATTGACAACACTGCTCTTAAACAATTAAATCAACCAAAACGTTGACAATTCTAGAATTTAAATTATTTTTATATAAAAATTTTTAATTTAGATTAAAACAAATTGTATAATTAATTATAAGAAAAATATTGACAAGTCCTATCAAATAATTAATGTTCATTCTATAAAAAAATTTATCAATGCCATCAATGTTAATAAAGTATAAGTCATAAAAATAATCATTTACCTTCACTCTTTCTACTAATTCTATCTTATTCATATCATCTAGGTGATGCTTGATCTCTGCTTGTCGAAGACGTTCCAATTCCAATGTCTTTTGAACAATTGCATTAGCAAGTAATTCATGAGCTTCTTTTTGTTGTTGTTGTTTAATTTCTTCTAATTTACGAACAGAATCTGGTATAATATTTCCTTGTTTATTTATCTGAAATAAATATATATATAAAATATAGAAATTACATTAAAACTTAACTTTAAATATAAATTTTTTAAAAAACAAAATCAGCATACTCATTAATAAATCTAATTGTACAAAATTTTATTTATAAATAAATTTTCAAATGATTATCAATAATACTACAGTATGAATATAAAACATAGTCAATTTAAATGAGATCATAAAATATCAAATTAAATTATTTACATTTAAATACATTAAAATTTTGGTCTCGCTATTCATTTTCATTTGTTTCACTCACAAATCAGAGATAAATGAGAATAAGGATTTCTATCACTGTTATTTATAAATTTCAACTATAAATTGCAATTACTATTATTGTTTAAAAACTGTCATCATGAATGTATGTGAAAAATGTTCTCTAATCTTGCTTCACAAAAGTATTTTATTATAACCTAATACAATATACAGTGGAACCTCGGTATACAACCTTAATCCATTCCTGGTGTTTGGACTTATACCGAATAGGACGTATACCAAACCAACCTTTCCCATAAGAAGTAATGTAAAAATGATTAATCCGTTCTCATGTAAAAAAAAATGGCTGGCTTTAAACATCTCACTTTCCTGGCTAGTTCCTGCTTGATTTTTCATGAGATCACCATGTATCTTTTTAGCTTTCTTGCAAATAATTGCTTCTGATAGGATGTCGCCAGCACACTGTTTTTCAGTATTCCAAAGCAAAAGCAATTTCTCAACATGATCTAATGTCTTCGATCTATGTTTAGAAATTGATTTAACCTCTTTTGCAACGTTAGTGGATTTAATAGTCTTTATTTTTCACGATTGTTGATATCGCCATTCTCGGAATATGGTATGCAACAGTTAAATCTCGAACACGCATGCCATCTTCATATTTCTCAACAATCTCTTTTTTCAGTCCATTGTGATTCTAGTCATTTTTTTATTTTTCTGTTGCCTTTTTGTAATTCATGATTAATAAAAATAATAAAATTTTACTTACAAATTAAAATAAAAAGAAATTTAACAAAGTTATAAACTGTGGCACCATGAATGTCTAGTCTGGTCTAGTACACCGATAGTGCTACTTGTTCACAGATGGCACGTATAATTGAATTAAGTCGTATACTGAACAAAAGTCATATACCGAGCAAAATTTGTTTCGTCCAAACAGGACGTGATCCGAATTGGATGTATTCTAAAGCAGACGTATACTGAGGTACCACTGTACTCTCAATTATCTATGTGCAGATTATCCATGCATACTTATGTCTCAATAAAAATTTACATCAGGAATATAAATATTAAAGAATTAAAATTAAAAAAGTTTGCATTGTTAACTCTTGCTATTAAAAATGGTATGTTAAACATCAGAATTACATCCAAAACATCAAGGTATAAATTGACTAACAAGTACAATAAGTGCAGTTAATTCTTAAACAATATGCATAAGTAATATGCACATACTACATTCTTTTGTTAAATAAGTTGTTAAATTATTTGAAGAAAATATTTTGAATCATCATCAAAATTAATGATGATTTATGACAATACGTAACTGTCAATCACCTGTCATTCTTGATTAATAATACAAAAAACTGAGTGAACTGCAAGGTGATGGTTCAATAAATTTTTCTGAATTTTATGCTTATGTCAAAAGTTTTATTCAACTGTGATCACATCAAAACATATTAATTAATTGATTACTGTTCTCAATATTTATTATGAATAAAATGCATTAACTATTATATTAAATTTAATATGAAATTTAAAAATCTGTCACTAGCTTTAAACTCAGTTATAGCATGACCTTATTGGGCTGCAATTTTTAAAAAATTGTAGACCTATTATAAATTCCCATTGTTGTCTGTCCATCCATCTTTCCTAAATCTCAAGAACAGAGTTAGATAGTTGAAAGCTGAGACCAGATAAGAAAAGCTTAAGGGCAGGAGGCCTGATTAACTATATGTAAACTTCCAATGCAAACTGGAAGTGACATTATTTCAATCCAAAAATTTTCCCTGAAAGGAGTTGGATAGATGACTGGCATGACTTGATTGCTAAAGGAAAAGTATGATATACAGGGGCAAGACACTGCTAATTTTAAAGTTTTTTAAATAAAGCTGGAATACTGGCAGGATAAATCTTATTCTTTCATTTTGACAAGTTTAACTATTACACTACAATATCCACAAAGCTTTCATCATAATTTTATTCAAAAGTTTGGCTGTGAAAATGCTGCCAATTATGTAAACAAACTTTGAATTAAAAATTTGTAGTGTTTGAAAGAATCTGGCAACAAACTATTTACAATAAGAGTTCGTCTTACCCAACTGCAAATAGTCAAACAGGATAATTTGACTATTTGCTGTGTTAAGGATGCTGTGTGAGGCTCCAGAAGTGGACCAGAACCACACAAAAAAATTTTTAATTCAAAGTTTGTTTACTTGGATATTAAAAAAATATTTTGTGAAACTACTAAAAAAGGAAAAAATAGAAATTTTATGTTCATAAAAGGACATGTTTAAAAAAATTCTTCAAAAATAAACTTCTCATATAGACAATAGTATAATGTAAGTCCAAAGATTGAACATCTTCAATGGGGATCAAATTGACAGTCGGTGTTGACTCATCCCGCAATCTGGGCTCTGATCTCGTTACATTTTGTAACAAGTGAGGACCAATTGGAAAGTGGAGATGAATCAGAATCGACCCGTCAGAACTGACCTATTGGAATGTTTGATCTGGGACCCTAAAAAAAGTTATAAAAATCTGAATTTGGCAGATACAGAAGGCTTCTCTCTCATGCTTTTGAATGTGCTATCCCTGCCTTGGAAGGATTATTCTCATTGCGGACTAAGTATCCTCTTCAAACTTCCTAGCTACATCCTGGGCGTCAATTACTAAGAAAACATTGGAGAGCTTTCCTCTTTGGACCTTCATCATCCGGAAAAGGGATTCAGAAGATTTGTCCTCTGCCACCTGTTAAAAGTGTATTGTTGTTGTAAGATACTTTTTTGTTACAATAAACTGGTAACTATTTGTAACTGAAGAGAGTTGTCTCTGCATCCAATGCTCCCACTCATGTTCAACATCACTCAGGCATCCTGTTGATAAGCACGGTTTGGCAACCTCACAGCTGCTTAATAATATTGAACCAGATATGGAAAAATTAGTCTCTTTGCATATTGCCAATCATTACTTTTTTGTTAATTTCAAACAAGTAATTTAAGATATTTTGGATGATTATTTTTTTGTTTAAAAAATAAATGCTTAAGTTTAAAAAATGTTATTAAAATTTAATTTTTAATATAGTATTTTTGACTGATATTTTGGGGGTACTAATAAAATATATGCACTAAAAATGGGTGGTAGTAGTCTGAAAAAGTTTCGAAAACACTGTTCTAAGCCTTTTGTTTCTTACAGTTCCAAGTACAGTAAATCATGTGATATTTGGCGAAATATTTGATATTCAGTAGTCAGGAAAGACAAGAATATTTGATATTTGGCAATAGTAACCAAAAACAAAACCCTATTTGGTCCAATCCTATTGGATCACTCTGAGCTTATAAACTTAAATGATTTGTTTAATTTTCAAAAATGAATAATAATTTCTCTCTAATAATTAATGTTCATTCTATAAAAAAATTTATCNTTTTTTAATTAATGAGATTATATTTGACTATATATATAGTCAAATATAATCTCATTAATTAAAAAAAATTAAATCTATGTCAATGGTATATTTTAGAAATTTATAATGAAATTCAATGAGGGAACAGTTTGTTATTTTTATATTTACAAAAATTAGATTTCATTTATGTATGGTACATTCAAATAAAAAGTTCAATCTTATTCAGTACATTCATTAAACCATCTTAAAATTTGATAATTTATAAATAACTAAATTTAAACTTTAACAAATAAAAGTTAATTTATTTTTACCAATCCAGCTTTTGTTAACTGACGTTTAACTGTTGGCTTTTTAAAATAATGCGTTAAATGCTGATCTGTTAAACTATTATATGTTCCAAGAGGTCTGAAATAAAAATTTTTATAATTATTTTATGAAAAATTTTACAAATATTATAATATAGAGTAATAGATAAAGTATTTTTAAATTTTAATATTAATATTTTAGAATTTCCAGCTTATGTTATAAATTATTATTATTCATAAAATCAGGACTGCATTGGTATTAAACAGTATTTAAAATAAATTAAAATATCAAAATTGAATGCAAATAAAAAAAATTAGGTTAATAGAAAGTTCTTCTTTCACACAAATAAATTATAATACTGTAATACTTTATTACAGTTAAAATAAGCTAAGTTTAATTTAATTTAGCCTGTTTATCTTTATTTAACCTAAATTTTAATGCTGGCATCTATTTGCATAATTTACAATCCAGCCCTGGAAAATACATATAATTTACATTGTGTTATTCATTTTAAAATTCACAAAATAATTGAAGAATACAAAAATGTCTTCGCATTTCATCCTTGTCTCACCTTGGGAACGTAACAGTCTTATGGTGGAGTCAACCTTTTACTGAAGACACTATATTTTTATAATTGTGTCATCACTGGAGAAAAAATTTTAAATGTTTAACTTATTGAGGTGGATAAGAGCTCAGACAACATGTTAACTTTATCATAAAATTGTTATGTTTCCAAGGCATGATAAGGATAAAATGTGAAGAGATTTTTGTATTCTTCAATTATTTTGTGGATTTTAAAATACATTTATCTCCTTGTCTATTTTTATTATTTATTATATTATTTACATTTAATTATTAATCTTACTTTCAGTTATTACAATAAAATTTAAAGGAAAGGATCTTCTATTCATAAATGAGCTATTTTGTCATTGATAATTAAACACATATCTTCATAGAAAAAGTTGCTACTATTTCATAATTTTCAATAGAATCATAACTATATAAAAAAAATTAAATATCTTATTTCAGTTATCTTTTTTGATAATTTATTCTGTTGAATTGGAAATGATAGATTTGACATTTATATTTTTCAGCATTTAATATAGACATATCTATTTATGTCTACTGTAGCAATATGTTATTGATAGATTGGTGCTGACAGCATTTCCTGACTATATAAACTATAACAAAATACCATTTTAATCAAACACAGATTTTCTTTACCTGAACCTGATATCAAATAATTCATATTAATAATACATTAAAACTAAAAACATTGCCATGTCCTTTAAAATATGTCCAATAATCATAATTTAAAACAAAAATAAAAATTTCACCTCTGATAAAGAAGTTTTACTTTTTAATTCACTAACATTTTCAAAAACTTTTCTCTATCCTCTATCCTCAGATGAGAGTTATTTTTTTCTCTATCCTCAGATGAGAGTTATTTTTTGAAGATAAAGAAAAAAACTCATCTACAGATGGAGAAGAACAAATCTCCATAAAATGTTTATGGATTAAAAGATAAAGACTTCTGCTTAGATATATTTTCATTTTTATTTTGTAAAAATAAGATGTTAAACATATAGATTAAACTGAATCATAATTGATTAAATCCTTGTCTAAACTTCTTAATACTTGAAATTTTCTGGCAAAGATTTGTAAAAATTTAACAAAGTCCCTTCCTTAAACAGTTTTTATAAAAATAATTTGTAGAAGGTCTATAAATTCTACAAAGGACTTCTCGAAAGTTTTATACCTTGAATTTGCTCATATAGTGATGACAAAACATGTCAAGAAAAACCTCCTATGCAGGCCAGATAAACATGCTTTGAGCTGTACAAATACAGCTTGAGAGTTTGAACTTTGGCCCAAGAGCCGAGCCATAGGTTGGAGGCCTCTAATCTAAACTAAATGTAACAAAAAAATAATAATAAAAATAAGAAAAGATATGGTATAAAATTCTTCACAACTATTTTTTGTAAAATAGATCATTTTGCTGAATAATCAATCATTTTATGTTATTAGAATGCTCAATAATTCTATTAATGTAATATAACTTACAAAAATCAAATGGTGTTATCTACAGCATTTGTAACAACTAGGATTTCTTTCCCGGGATCCCATTTTCCCGGGATTCTTGCCATTTATTCCCTACGAGAAAAATCCTGGGAAATTTAATTTTCCCGGAAAATCTCACATTTAAATAATAATTTACCATATCAGGTTTTCTTTCTATTATTTATTATACGAAAAGTTGCATCTTGAAGACTCACCTAGGAGAGAAATTTTGAGGTTTCTTGCTGCATATTATTACCTATGTTTTACAAGTCTCTACTTATAAGTAATAGATATGTATATATCCCTGGTGCGGTTTACTTTATATTACTTTTAAAAGATCAATTTTTCAAATATATTTCCTCAAAAAATTGATGAAAAAAACTTTATGGGTTAATTGTACCTAGATAACCCCCGTTTTTGTGCCTGGACCGCAGTTAATCAGAGACAAAGCTTTTTTTTCGTATTCTTTATTTTCTATGCATTTCGGGTGCAATATTTTCTTTAATTTGCACCCCTCTTCAGGATTTTTACATTTCTATAAATTTGGTAAATTTAATTATTACATCGGTAAATTACTACAATAGTTATACAATGGTTAACTAACCTGTTTTAAGTTTTAGATCGACATCTGCCCAGTGTTGATGTTATGTCCCCTAAGGCATTTTTAGACCGTTTCCCCCTCTTTTCCCTTTCCCTTTAGCTCCTCCCATTTCCTCCCACGCGTCGTCTACCTCCATTCCATCATTTAGGTTTATGGTTTTGTTTTTATTAATGATTTCGAAGTGCTCTTTGAATTTTCTTAGATAAATATCTTTTTCTTTATGAATAATTACTACATTTTGTTAAGCAATGACCAAACTGCTACAGGATAACAAATACTCTATGAAGTAGCAATTTGCATGAAAAGGTTATCAATGCTATCTAAAACAGCCATGTGATGAATTAGTATTGAACATTACATTGGTAACTCAGAATCATCTTCAACTTCAAATGAAGAATTAGACTCTGAAGTCCACTTGGACAAAAATGGAATATTCAAATGCAAAGCAATGCCACTTAAGCATGGAAAAACCAGTAAACGTACAAATAAGAACATTTCAACAAAGCTTTTTAGAGTTAAAAGTGGAAGAATATAAACACTCATTAAAATTGACTATAGAAGAAGCCATTCTGAGCCTGGATTCACAAA